TTGTCTCCTCAAGCTGGACTGGCTGGTACTTGGGAAGGTACCAGTGACAGGACATGTATGAAAAGACTTTGTATTAAAGAAGGGAAAGAAACAAAAGCTAAAATCCCAGAGCTCCGTGTGACTCCATATCTCCCTGCAGATGTGGAATTGGGGACCCTTTGTGCAACTGCAGCCACTTTCCTCTTTTCCTCACTCGGATGGATTAGTACCAGACTATTACCTTTGTGAGAGAGGAAGAGACAGACTTGAAACTAAAAACGGCTTGAAGTCGTTCAAAAACTGGTGAACACTAAAAGCAAAAAYGGTTAAGCAAACTGAGGCTTCTTCAGAGAACCCCTCGTGGACATTGGGACCAGTTTCCTGCGGGACTTCAGTTTTGAAAAGAACTGAGACAGAAGGTCTTCTGTCACAATATTGGGTTTTTTTGATTTGTTAAATATTTCCTGTGGTGTGAGGTTACTTATTAAATCCACAGACATCGAGTGACTTCTTGCAGTATACATATAAAAATTTGTTGTAACAAGTTACATTTCCACCCAGATGTCATATTGCAGTGAAAAAGGGCACGATTTTTATACATATATATATACACACATATAGATATATATATGAATAAATAAAAAGGAAAACCTGCTAAGATCATGCTGTGTAGCAGACAGGGGCTTGCTGTAATTTTTAGCATGTAGCGCAGTTACTCTGGCTTTATGTATATGGATCTACAATGAGCTGCTGTTTTCCCCCCCTCCTACAACTGAACCTGCAGTTTAAAACCAAGTGTAGTATTTGTACTGGTTGTACCATGGACTTTAGGGGATATTTGATTTGATCRATGTAGCAAACTAGGGAAGAAAAAAGCTCAAACCCAGCCCTGTGTGTCTGAGGGGGGAGGAGGTGGGGGTGTCTTTTTTCTTTTTTTCCCTCCTTTTAATTTTTTTTTTTTACAAACAGCTCCCTTGCAGGTTTTTAGTAGTTCCTTCTTGACCAGTGCATGTATTATAGCAGCAATTGTCTTTGTGCTTTCTGATCATAGTAATGTATCACTTGTAAATACATTTTTTCTATTTTCTATTTTTTTGTATTTTTTGCATTTTGTTTCATTAGTGTGCTGTATTTTTCCATGCCCCTGCCCCTCAAAGAAAAAAAAAAGAAAAAAACTGTCCTTTACTGTTGTGACTGGTTGGAGTTTGTGTGTTGACTGCTTTGTACCTGTAGCCTGTTAAAATGTGGATTTTATTCTTTCTTTTTTAAAACCAACAGTTCCAGTTGTTATTTTGACTGAAAGGCTTCCCTGAGGTAACTAAACTTTTTTGCTTTCAAGCACTGTGCCAAGCTGGGTTTGGGGAGCTCTCCTGAGAGCTCATAGCTCRTTTTTGTTGATGGATACTGGGACCTGTTAATGGGATGGGAAAAGAAGGAGTGTTGGAGACTGATCTGACTGAGCAGTGCAGTGACTTTAGGTCCAATTTCATTCCAGCAGGTAAGGGGGGATTGGTGAAACACCTGATGCTCTCAGCACTGTCAGATGGTATAAAAAAAGCATTCTGGACGTGGTAGGAAATTTTGTCCAGCCACGTCTGCACTGTCATTAAGTCATTAATTAACACCTTTTTCTGTTCTCAGGTAGGTCTGGCATGGGTGGCAAAGGGGCTGATGCCTCTGAGCTGGCTGGGACAACCTCCAAGACAGCTGGAACATCCCAGGATAACAGTAAGAAGCAGCTCAGCCCTTGGGGGGTAGGGCTGAGATTTGGCAAATGTGGGTGGGGCAGGGGGGACATCGTGACTTAATAACACACACACACACACACATATTCACACACACATACACACACACACACAGTTACTTTCTTTCCCTTAGCTGAAAGCATTCCCTCTATCATGTGCCTGCAGTGCTCATCCTCAGGTAATTTTTAAAAGAAATTCAGATTTTCATTGAGAATTTGCTTTTTCTGGTYGCACCAGACTTGCCTGGGAGTGTAGAAAGGATCCATTTTGAGCTACACCTCAAACCTAAGGTGAATAAAATATTGAGGAATGGATTCAAATAAAAAGCTTTTTTGGTGGCTTTTGTTTTGCTGAGAGGTTCCAAGCAGTGGAGTAACAACTTCAGATCCAGTTTGCTGTTGCTTTATCTGCACCTTGCACCTACCTGATAGTTGTGTCTTTCTAGTCCTTGCTGTGTGTCCTCTGCTTGAGGATCAAGCTGTACTGGCTGCTTTGGGTCCTCTGGATTCTGGGACACCGTGTCAGTCCTGGTTCCTGTCCCCTACAGATGCTGATGCAGCTTTGTTGAACTCATTAATAAACTGCTTGACACAAAGTCCTGCAGTGAGATTGCCCAAATACCTGCCCTTTCTTTTCGAAAGCTGTCAAAAATAGCTATTTYAATAACTGACTAACATAAGCCTTCTTACAAGAAGGAAAAGGCTGGCAAAAAAGTGATAGACTAAGGCATGCTTATAGCAGTTATCAGGCCATGGACCAGAACTGTAGTGTACAAATCTGCTGCAAAGTCTGGTTCTCTGCTGCATCTTTGGGAACAGTCAGCTTAGAAATGGTACTGTTTGCATGCTGAAATGTCCGTAAGGTCACACTTCACCTTTCAAATGTGAGTTCCAATATTTGAATTTGAAATTAGTTTTTTTAGATAGAAAGTAGTAAACTTCATTTTTCATTCAAGTTACAGCACTGTCATGTTTTCTTATCACTATTCCATGTCTTCATTCTATTATTCTTCCAGGCACCTTGCTTTTTYACTTCAGGATGTCTGTCAAATTTASTATTTTCCATCTTTGCCARGCCAGGCCTGTGTTGATGGTGAGRRCTCTCAACTTAGGCAAAACAAAGACCTAATTTAAAATCTCAATATATTTGTCCTTTTTCTAATAGCTGACACTGTCAGGAGACTTAYAGAAGAGACTSGATATGAAAGCAATACTACAGCACTTTCAGCTGAGTCCTGTAAAACTTCTTGCTTAAACATGGAAGGCTGAAATAGCACTTCTGGGGTTTCTTTGAAATTGTGTGAAATGGAGAGATGAGCCCTGTCTCACTGCACTCTGAGGTAGATGTCCAGACTCCAGGCACCTCCTCATTCTTGGTGAGGAATGGGACAAAGAAGGATGTGGCTCATGTCTGTACTGCCCAGGAAGATTAAAGTATTTCTCACCTCTTCGTATTTAATTGTGACAGCCCAGAACAGCTCATCTCTTCCTTTAGTCTGTTGGGAACTCATAAGAGTCAGCYATGTGATATAAAAGCTATCAGTTCTAAGGTGGGGCAGGAAGTAACTCCTAGTTACTGTAACTATGTTTTCTAAGAAAGGATTCTAATTCAACCTCCCCCTGCCTCATGATCAGATTCATATACCCTTAGAGTATTGTGGGGCAAAAACTACGAAGTCCTTGAAAAGTGTGGCTTTTGTCCTTGAGAAGTGACTGMGCTCCTTCCTCACCTGTTTCTAATTTATCTGTAACCTGATTTTCCCATCTCTGTGCCCCGAGTTGGCAGTGTTGGCTGAGTTTGCCAACTGATAAAAAGTTGTGGCTTCACCTGTGAACAGACCCTTTTCTCCAAGGACAGGATGGYTCTGCCCACACCTGGGTTTGTGCTGAGTGGCTTAGTAAGAGCTCCTGATTTAATGCTGCAAAACTCGTTTGTGTTTTGCCCTCTCAGCAGTTCCTTTGCAACAGCCCTCAGGAGCAGACACACATTCATCACACAAAGGTCTCTCAGCCAGCAGCCRTGAGGAGAAGGCTCGAAGTATCTTGCTCTGAGAAAAGCCATTGCTTTGCTGTGGAAGCTGTGGGCTTGTGTGTGTAACCGTGCTGTTTTATCCCTCTTTTTTTTTTTGATACCTCAAGGTTCTCCAGGTGTTCTCCATCAGGTGAGGCAGTCACACCCACCATGGTTGGGGTACAGGGACAGTTTAACTCTGCTCTGGAGAGAAGCTGCAGCCAATTRGAGCTGGTAATGAGGGAGGCTGAGGGTGAAGAGGAGCAGTCAGCAAGTGCTGACAGCACAGCCAATCTAAGAGAAGCAGCTGGATGAGAGGGGAAATGGGCTGGCAGAAGTGTGACTGACTGTGCTGGGTGACTGGGGACTCAGCTGGAGTGCAGTGCAACAGGAACTCTGCACTGCTTAAGTCCTCATGTCCCTGCAGCTCCTGTTCTGAGTGGCAAGGAGAAGTRTAAAAGAGTATCACACATCCTCATGCACCATCATAGAAGTGAGCCTTCAGCAATCAAAAGTGGTGACACAGGCTGAAATCAAGCTGTCCCCTCAGCTAGAAAAATCCTCCAGAATTTACAACACATTCAGTCAGTGGAATGGTTTTCCAGTAGGAATGCTCCTGTTGAATGCAGTCAATCCTTAAGCGTGGGAAAGGAGAAACTCAGCAGTTGAGGACCTTGCCCCAGCATGCTGTTGCCCTCCAGCGCCCTGCACAGGGATGACTGACATCACTGAGAACTGGTTTCACTGGTGCACTCAGGCCTGGCTGGTTTCTGCTCCTGTGTCTTGTGACGGGAGTATTCTAAGTTAATTCACATCTGCATTTAAAAAAAAAATGAGGGAGTGGTGGTCCTTTAAAATCAGGTTTTATTTGTCTTCTCTGCTCTCTTGTGTAACAGAATCCACCTCTTCTCTGCACACAAGTTTAAATAAATGGCACCACAGGAAAACAACCATTTACCTCTAGTGTACCTTTTTTGGACAAGGAGGCAGACCAGACCAGGCTATAATCTTAATCCTCTCCTTTTCCTGAGTTTAGAGCTTTCCCTTTGGCTGTTGACTCTTCTAAAAGTTAATGTTTTACCAACGATCACTGATTGAGGATGTGTTACTGCTAAAACTTCCTGATGAGGTTAGTGTGTCACCTTTCATTTCCTCATTACCCAAAACATGTACAGGTTAAAGGCTGTTACTGTCCTTTCTTGCACTTCCTGTTGATATTGTAGAAGCAGATTTGGGAGCAGAGGGGTTTTTTTGGTGTTTGTTTTTTTGGTGTTTGTTTTTTTGAACAAAATCAGTCTCAGGCACTGCAGCATTGCTGTCCTTTGCTTCTACCCCTACATCCCAGAGCAGCTGAGTGAGCAGGTGCTGGGCTCTGCTGGCCCAGACTGAGGGATTCTTTCTGTGTTTTCACATCTATGCAGGCAGCAACCAGAGCCTGTGCACAGAGCCCTCTGCGGGCACGTTGTTTCTGTGTGTCCTGTCTGGCTCCTTTCCTGCTGGAAGTGAGAAGTGCCCTGCTTCAGGGATTACCTCAGCCCAGCCTATGTCCCATTCGGAGCTCATGCACAGCTACATCCCACACTGGAACTCCACTGAAGTCTGATCTGCAGAAGGAGGGGACCAGCAGCCTGGAGCAGGGCACAAGGGTCGTGGCTCTCAGCACCTCCAACTCCAGCACTGGTTATCCAGTGCCACGTAGTGACAAATTCTGCAAAACAGGCAGTGGCTGGGAAGTGTACGAGGACAGCTGCTGTCATTTTGCCACTAACTAGCCATTCCAATGGTCCAGCTTAGGAAAAGCCCCACACTGCCCTATGAGGACAGGTTGCCTGCTGCACTCACAGCCACCAAAACCTCACTTACAAACCTCAATTTGGCCTCTGTGCGCCATACTTTGTCCAAAGAAGAATCAGCATATTTTAACTAGAGGGTCAGTTACTCATTGGTGAGGAAAATCTCCATCATTAGCCTCATTCAAGAGGGTCAAACTCCATCACTGTTGTGCAACATTATGAGGCACTTGGGGCAGGGTGTTGCTCTAGTCAGCTCCCTCAGCCTCGATAGGCCTTCAGCAGCTGGCCTGCGATCACCAGTCTCTGGATCTCACTGGTCCCCTCGTAGATCTCGGTGATCCGGGCGTCGCGGTAGTGGCGTTCTGCTGGCATCTCTGTCACATAACCCATCCCACCCAGGATCTGGATAGCCTGAAACAAAAGGCAGCAGGTTAGAAAGGAAGTGGGGTCAAGAAATTTGTTTTCTATAGAATGCACACACATGCACACAGAGCCACTTTAAGAGGTGCTGAGCTCTCTGCATGCATAATGGGAAGGGTGGGACACATGGATGACTACAACTCATCGGCAATCATAGAAATAAACTGGATTGATCCAGGTAAGAGCAATATGGATATCCCAGGTGGGCAATTAATTGCTTCAGAGGKATCTGTTAGCTGAATATGCATCACTAGGATGCTTTTATTAAAGAGAGGACACTAAACTGAGGAACAGAGSATCTGATCCAGATGCAGTGGTGGTGACTGGTGGCCCCATGTCCTCTCCCATGTCCTGCTTCTTGTTAAAACTGCCACTGCACTGGACAGTAKCAGGCACAGATCACTTTAATAATACAGCTGCCAGAGGCCAATACAAATCTCTGCCACTGTCCTACTTCCCCACAAACCCTGAAGATGGTTGTACTAATCAGCTTCGGCCATAGGGTTGGTTGCTTGGTTGGCTGGTGTGTTTCAAATAGAAATTAGTAATTCCATCCCATGCTCCCAAAGCACTTGTGAGACATCCAAAGTCCCTTTCCACATGACATATGTCAGAGTTACCTGATGAGCGATGGACGTTGCAGCTTCTGATGCAGCCAGTTTGGCCATCGCCGCTTCCTTTGGGGAAGGAAAACATCACTGAGGGTGCAGCTGTAACAAAAAGGATCTCCTCACTTGCACGAGGAGCTTGAACTCTCACAGAGCAGCTGTGCAGAGAGAAGCCTGATGATGGTGTCAGCTCAGAGCAGCCACCTCTTTCCCCTCAGCTACAACCAGTGCTGAGCTCAGCAGGCTGCCCAAGGGTGGRCAGCAGGCCCAGGACCTGGTGGTTACACCCCAACAGTACTGTCTGGGCAGGCACTGAGCACAGCAATGCTATGGAGCAGGGTTTCCTGGCCTTGAGCCTGTGTCCTGTGCTGTGGCTGCTGGACAAAAGGGCTGAAACTACCTTAGTGAAGGGCTTCCCATTGTCCTTCAGCATAGCGGCTCTCCAGGTCAGCAGGCGCGCACCCTCCAAGGCCACAGCCATGTCTGCCAGCTTGAACTGCAACAACAAACACTGCCTTTGGTCCAGGGCCTCTGCCTGCACAAGGGCACCAGTAAAGGAAAAGGAGCCTCTGTCCCAACAATTAGTTTAACAATGTGTATCCCAGACAGTACAAAGGGCACTATGTGTCTGATACCATGCCCAAGAGCACACATGGACTTTCCACCAGCCCTGGCACACTGTGGAACTGCCCTGTGTACTTGGTTTGTACCTGCACTGCCTGGAGCTTTGTGATGGGTGACCCAAAGGCCATTCTCTTCTCAGCATAATCCACAGCACAGTCCAGAGCCGCCTGTGCTATCCCAAGGGCCTGTGAGGCAATACCAATCCTTCCTCCGTCCAGAGTTTGCTGAGAAAGACAAGGAATATATGTAAGTCAAGTCATACTTGATCAAAAATAGGACATGCACATTCCTAATGTTGCTGGAAAGCTGCTGTAGCCTTAAAATCCTCTGGTCAGAGACCACCTTGATTCACAATATTCCCAGTTATGCAGGAATAGAGAGCTRTAACAGGCACTGACACTGCAGAGTGAAGACAGTAGTAAAAGAATGGAAGCAGAAACAAAAATGATTTCTTATTAGCTGGGAGAAAAAGAGGGTGCAAAATGAGAGAAACAACACAARTATCTGCTCTGGGAGGAGCTAGAAAGAAATCTTCAGCCATCCCTGACTCACTGCAGCTGATTTCACTTTGGAAATCTGGTCAGTTTTCCTTTTTTGCCCTCATCATTAGGACACACATATGAAAGCATTTTTCAAACTAATTCATAAACCCAGTCAATTACCTGACTTAGCTCAAACATCTGCTCTACCCCACTATACACAGGAAGAAACCACAGCACAGAGAGAAAAGGCTTCATCTTCTCAGCCCTGGACTGAAAGTCTTTAAAAGAACCTATCAATCACCAAACACTTGTGGTTCTGGTCATAATGGAATGGGCTCTGCTCCAGGGAGCTTGACTCAAAATGTCAGGCCAACAAAGCGTGTTTTGCTCCTACAGAGAAAGCAGTGACCACACTCTAAGGACAGTGCCTTACTGCAGGAAACAAAGCTATTCCCAGCTGCCTGGCTCCTTCTCAGAAGTCACATGCATACCATAACTCAGCTGTCATCCAGCTTGAGACACTTATCCAGAAGTTGTTCTGGGCCTCCAGGACAACTTGCCTCTGCCACAGTATTAACATAGGGAAATGCCACATTTTCCCTTTATCTATGGGTACAAACTGAAGGAACGGAGGATTGGGAAAGGAAGAAAATGAAAATATACCACCCCTATTGACACAACACCTCAGCAGCATCAACATTCCTTCAGCTGAGAACCGCCACAATAAAAGTACTGTCAAAAATCTGTGTAAATTAACCATTCATTAAGCTCTGGGAATGATTCCTCCCATTCTGGCAAGCAGGGTCAACAGCCTAACATGACACAGAACAGCTTATGCAAGCAATCCTCACTGAAGTGACTGCCTCTGGAAATGGCTGACAAAACAGTAAAGCTTGGGAAATATGGTGGTACACACCCACAGYTGCACTCCATCCCTCTCTTACCATGGCGATTTTGAAGCCCATTCCTGGCTGCCCCAGGAGGTTGGCCTTGGGTATCCGGCAGTCCTCAAATATCAGGTTGGCAGTGGAGGAGGCTCGGATTCCCAGCTTGTCTTCTTTCTTCCCCAGTGACAGCCCAGCTGTCGGCATGGGAACCAGGAACGCACTAATGCCCTGCAACAAGACCCAAACTCTTAGGAATGGTGCCACCTTCCCACTTACCTGGCTGTCAACAGGCTTCCTCCATTTTACGTAAAAGCCACATGTCCAGGTAACCAGAAGGAGGGAGGGGAGAGCTGAGACTAAACAAAACCAGAACATATACGCCCCTTCTCTGCTCAACGCATGGCTCTAAAAACAAAGTCCCAGAGCTGCTGCAAAGTGTTTCTCCACAACTCCTTCACCCACCCCTTTTTCCCAACAAACTACCACACCTTGTGCTTCAGGGATTTATCTGTAGTAGCAAACACCACGGTGGCCGAGGCGTCCCAGGCGTTGGTGATCCAGGCCTTGGTGCCATTCAGAACCCACTCATCCCCATCCAGGCGTGCCACAGTAGAGGCTGCACCAGCATCGCTGCCATTTCCTAAGCAAAGCAGCAGCAAACAAACCTCAGGTGACTGGTGACATCACTAATCCACCCCCCACCTGCACCACATCAGCTCGTGGCACCTCTTGAACTGTGGCAGTGTCACCACTGTCCCTTCCACAGGATGGGGAAAGGCCCTTATGTGCCAGATGTGTCACACAGGGAATAAGTATTTTCAGCAGGGACCATAGGACGGCAGTTCACACCTTGGGTACTGAGACCTCACTTACACAGAACTGCTGTAAACCACCTTTCTACAAACTGTCCCAATTTCAAAGACCAAAAGTCCATCCTAAACCTAAAGAAAGAAGCTATGCTATATTCTTTGCAACAGGGATGGTAAGTCATATCACCTGGTTCACTGAGGGCAAAACATCCAATTTTCTCTCCACTGGTGAAGGGAGCGATCCACTGGTGCTTCTGCTCTTCAGAGCCAAATTTGAGTATTGGGCCTAAATAAAGGGACTTTGAGAATTTAGTGTTGTTAGTGCCTCTTGAAGGTACAACCAATCCAGTAACTCCCTAATGTGCTTGCCAATACACTAGAACCCACCACAGGGACAGATCTACTTCTCCCAAACACCCCTCTCCAGTAAGCCCCATGGCAGCTCCTCACACTCACATTGTTGACGCTGACGATGACACCCGTGGATGCACAGCCCCTGCTGATCTCCTCCACAGCGATGGAATAGGCCAGGTAGTCAAGSCCTGCTCCTTTGTACTTCTCTGGCACGTCCATAGCCAGCAGCCCTAAGCTACCCATCTTCTTCACCTGTACACGGAGAATAGAGAGGTCAGGTGCTCTGCAGCACCAATGTGCCACAAATACAGACAGACACATGGAGAGAAAGATACATCATGGGATGGCTACACCCAGAGGAAAAGATCACACAACTCCTGGTGAAATGGGAATCTGAACAAACTGATAAGTGTCCCCAGATCCCAGTGACTGCAGCAGGAGCTGTACACAGTTACTGTTGTTTGGGCTCTTGCTTGTTTGAAGAGCCCTCTTCAGTACTGGGAAGGGGGGAGCCTTTTGAAGGTGAAATAGGCAGACAGAACTCCACCAGCATTTCCTCAGCCTCCCACCAAAGCTCTCCCCTTGCATGTCTCCTGCCAGTAGAAATGGGAAATCTAGCTGATAAAAATAATTGGAACTTTACCTTGGAGTCTGCTGAACTTCAGCCTAGGACTGCACAAGGGAAGAATTTTACAGAATGAATGACTATGGAAAACAGTGTGCAARATGATTTTTTTCCCTCCAAATAAAGTCCTATCTTGCTTCCCACAGAATTCTCTTAGTTGGTTACACTGCAATCATTCTACCCCAAGTTTCCCAGCTAGACCCTTTGCTTGCAACCATAAGCCTCTGCCTGCTTTTAGAGGAATAAGGCAGAACTTTTAAGTAAGTAACTTTCCTCCTATCTGGATACCAAAACCATCAGTCCTCCACATCAAATCCAACACCTCAATTTTCTGTTAAACCGGAGCTGGATGTATATTCTTCTTCAGCCGGCATAGTCTTGCCCCAGAGCAGCAGAAAGGGGGTCTCCGGCTGTGCAATTCCAACCCTCGCACCCACCTGCTCGGCCGGGAAGCGGTGCTCCTTGTCCAGCTGCGCTGCAAGCGGCATCAGCTCCTTCTCCGCGAAGTCCCGGACCGTCTCCCGCAGCATCTGGTGYGTCTCGGGCAGCTCCGCGCTCTGGTACACAGTGTGCAGCCGGCGGCACCGCAAGGCCAGCGCTGGAAGCGGGGARGGGACTCAGCGCCGCCGCTGCCCCTTGTAGGGGCCAGGAATGGGAGCCATCCCGTGAGGGGCTCTGAGGGTCCCCCCACCCCGACACCCGTTCCCGCGGCCCCGGGGCTGCACCCGCGGCCCGGCTGAAGGGCGGCGCCACCCCTCGCGCCTGAGGGGACTCGCCTCAGGCAGGCCCTGAAGGGCACAGGGGCGCCACTTTCCATGCAGGCCGCGGCCCCTCCCCGCCCCTCCCGCGTGCCCCGCAGCTCCCCCGAGCAGCCGCGGCGGAGCGAGGCCGCTCCCGGAGCCCTCACCCCGGGGGGCTCCGCCGCCGCGGGCCACGATCGCCGCCATCGCCGCCGCCGCCATCGCCGCCTGAGGGAGCGCGCGGAGCCCTCAGCGCGCACGCGCCGCAGCAGCGCCCCCTGGCGGCCTCTCCCGCCCGTGCCCGCCCCTCCAGAGCCGCGCGTAGGAACGGGACTGAGGGAGGGAGGAAGGAAGGTTCTTTATTCCTATTGCTGGTGACAAAACCGCGGCTGGACAAACTCAACCGCACGGGGCCCGCGGGGACACCCCGGCCACCCACCACAGCCCCTCGGCGCTGCCAGGGCCACCAGAGGAGGGTCCGGAGGGGACAGCACAGAGGAGTCCATGTGCCAGCAGCCCCAAGGCCACACTGTGAGAGACATAAATACGTGGATCCGGGCAGGCAGAGAGGGGGTTTGCTGGTGTTCATCTTCCTGCTGCTGTAGAGCAAGAGGTGCTGACTTGGCCAGGCTGCCATCACTCAGCCTTGTCCTCAGCAAGGACAAGAGATGGCACGGTGCAAGTCCAAAGTTCACAGCCGACAGTGAGCCAGGCTCTGGGGTAGCACGAAGTAGCTCCATGTCACAGGACAGCACGGCAGAAGCCTGGGAAACAACTGAAGAGGACGTGATGAAACACAGAGCTGAGTAGAATTGCTACATTTGGACCTTACTGCCTCACCACCACCTTCCTCCTCCATTTCTGACTCCTAAACACTTGTTTTTTTTTCCATGAAACCTCAGATAATGGGATAAACATCCCCAGGCACCAGAGAAAAGGCTGCTGCTTTTCTACAACAAGAGGCATTGAAAATCCTCAGAAAAACACACAAAGGAAGACACTTTCTACCAGAAACAGAGGACAAGGGCAGAAGTACCCAGTCCATACAACAAGAGATGGCCTTCCTTCACAAGGTGCAGTATGTATTCCACACTCAAGTAACAAAAATAGCTCTCCAGGAAGTTTGTTGGCATGGATCCAAAGCCCTTGCCTCAAAATGTGAAAAAGAGGTTCTGATACTAAGAGGACAAATACTGAAAAAACATGCCATGAGTTTGTGAATTTGGTCCCTTTTTTAAAAAAAGTTTTGAGCAGAACTCAGTATGATCCCAACRCTTTTCTTTTTCCAACTCAGCACACAATTGGAGAGAAGTAGTCTTTTCTCTTGCTCAAAYGCCAGCTGACATTGAAAGCATCTCCGTTGCCTGCAGCACCTGGCTAGGACTCACCATCCACCTGTCAAGGATGTGATCCCWGTGGAATTTCTTCCAAGCTCACTGGCTTGAGTAGCTTTGACCCATCATTTAAACACCAGAGCACATACTCCAGGAGGAAACTCGTCTGCTAACCATGCTTACCAAAGACATCATCCCTGCCACAAAGAAAAGAGGCTTTACAGAAAGTATCTAAGAGAGAAGGAATCCTAGGGAAGCTACTAAAATAAGGACAGGAKTTTGGAAATCCCTGACTTTCTGGATTACAATCAACTTTTTCAGCTGCCCTTTGTAGGGACTTTCTTTTTCCTGCAGCATGCTTTTAGGGCTTTTAGGACCTTCTGATTTGGCAAAGTAAACAAACTCAGCTAACAACTGTGGGGTGTTACTGCTGCCTGTGAGTCTCCCGCTTTTCCTCCAGCTCTCTCTTTTATTGCTGAATAACTGACACACTAACCCGTGTGAAAGCAACCCCTTCGATGCTTTTTCCTCGCCTCTGCTGATGGCCAAAGACAGAAATTCCGTTTTGCTATCGGGACCGAGCAGCGGCAGCCGCTAGATGGCGGACGCGCCCCGTGCTCGTCCCCGTTTTCTCCGTGCGCGCCCCCGCCGGGTCGGTCCTCCCTGGCCACGGGCCCATCTGCCTTTGAGAAACCTTTACACAGAGAAAACAGATGGGAATCGTCACACTCCTAAGAAAAGCGAGAGGTTACTTCACATAGAAAGTATTATAAAAGTAATGTTTAAAGGCACCTGGATTTATACTACATACAAAATTCAGCTCAATATGCTAWAATTTGTCAGGGAATAACTAGTAGGCTCTTCAGACACTATTTCTGAACACCTCAGAATGAAAAACACTTCCAGGCAGTTCTGCCTTGTGATACGTAATCTGGAGCAAATTCTTCCCACCTCAGCAGCACAGCATGAGGGCTGCTGAAGGTGTTCACTGCAAGAGGCATCTCGAGCTCCACCTCACCAGCAGCTTTAACTAATCCTGAAAATCCTAAACAAGACAGTACTAGTGCCTGTGSTGATGCTGGAGGGGATTGATGTTAGCAGAATTGTTCATCTTTCCATCAGGCAGACCTTGCCCCTCCACATTCCCAAGACATTTGTTGTGGTTGCTCATGATTAATGCTCCACCCAGAACAGGTCATTTGTTGTGGTTAATCATAATTAAATATCTTCCTAAGAGCTGGCGATTCTTTCATGGTTGCCACCCCACACACTCTCACTGCTTACTCTGATGCCAGCTGATCTTCCACACCAAAGTTACTTTCACTAATCTGGAGGTAAAGGCAGTGGTTTCCTGTTGCTGTCTATGCACTAACAGGCTCTGGGTTGTGCTGCCCTACCTGCTGAATTCTGTTTAAATACAAACTACATGGAATCTTACTTAACACAGCACACAGCAGGTAACCACTGAGGAGTTCGGTTTTAACTGTCTCAAGAAGWAATGGAACTAGTATTAGGAAAGGTCTTTAGTCCACGCACAACCTAGCTCCCCCTAGCAAGAGACAAGACTGACCAGCCCAGCAWGGGGACAGGAAAAGTGCCAGACTCGAGAGCCAGCAAAACTGGCAAAAGGGGGTTTTGGGAGATGAGATTTTGCACAATTGGGAGCTGGGCCCCAGCATGGCTATGGGCAAGACTGAGGTCCTCCTCTTCCCACTGCATGATGCTATCTCCCATTGCCAGATCCCAAAYACAGCTGTGGTATCAACCTTGACATCACAACTTCCTAAACCATAAATAAGCAGTTGAGTAGGCAGAGCAGTGCTGGGGAATTAAAGAGAACCATGTACATTCTCACTTTCCAAGAATCCCACTCCCTAACACTGAGTTATCTGACCTGGGAAACTTTTAGCTATTAATGCCTCCACTGCAACAAAGCAAATGAGCTGGTGCTGCTCACAGCACCTCTGACAGAACAGTCACGTTCACAAGTAYAGACTGAAACCTAGGAAGCTCTGCTTCCTACTCATTTTTCAAGTGATTTTCCACATTCTCATTTTTATCTCTAAGCCCCACTAGACTGACACCTCCCCTCCACCCCAGGCAGGCTGACAATGGGCTGTCCACCTAAAAAGCAATATATTCTGTATAGCAAGAGCCRAAATTCCTACAGAAAGGGAAGAAGGAGCAATGATAAATATAGTGAGACTAACTTCAGCTCCAAGGTTGTCCCCTGAGCTTCAAAATGCAACAATTTGCTCACAAAAACTCAAACAGAAATGCTATCAGAATGATAGCCCCTTTCCCCCCATCTCATCTCTCTAGTGAAATCTCTGGCACACAAAGATTAAACGTTCTTAGGGGCAGCTCAGGCCCCCACAGGCAGATGAATATTCCTGCACAACTTAGAAGCTGAATTAGTCTCTTTCCCATTGGAGAATATTCGGACATACCCTAGAAATCAATATCAGCCATGCCACAAACAAAACCACTGCACACTAAAGAGATGATCTATCCATCTGAAAAAGAGATCTGGTCTTCAGGCATCACTGGCTACTTGAAGGGGTTAAGATTTTCCTCCTAGGAAATAGCTTAACACAAACAACCTGACTTGCTGGAAAAGGATATTCACCCAAGAGGTGAAACATSAGAAGCACTAAACGTGCAACCTAACTATAAAGACTAAGAGCAAGAATTGTCTAAGAATGCCTCTGATCCCTGATCTAACCAAGGTATCAGAAGATAGCCAGGAACAGAGGAGGAGAGGCAGGATATGCTGTCGGAGTGTCGGAGAGAGAGGTGTTGCAGGGAGATTTCCTTTCAGGAGCCGTCATCTTTGCTTCATGTTCTCAGCCTCGTGCACAGAGAAAAAGTTTGGCAAGAAGCCTTGTTGCACGAGACAGCAACTCCAGTCCACTCCTGCACATCTGGAATGGTTAAAGGCATCACAGCATCCAGCAGACAGAATGATTACTGTCCTCCATTGTAAGCATAGTCGGCCTTGTTGTGCATAATCAACTTGTTGTCCACAAAGTAAAAGCTGTCCGAGCGTGTCTCATACGGGTTTTCAACCATCAGACGGACTGTGAAAGAGAAAGCTCCATTACATTCAGCAGCCTGACACAGTCAGGATAAAAGGGACTCTGCCAATCTACTGCATTTACCAGGCTGATGCTTTGCCCTACCCAAGGAAGAGAAGCAAACTGCTCTGCTGAGCACACTTCAAAGGCTGCAGCCTGCCCTTTCCTTTCTTCCTATTCACAGGACAAATGCTGTCAAAAGCAAACAGAGGGGAAATCAAGTAATCTCACAGAAAACAACCTCAGAAACTAGCAGAGCCATGAGTGGAGCCGAGCAGCCATCATGTCTGTAAGCAGGAGCTCGATTGTGGCACTCCCCACATGTACACAGGCGGGGTGAAAACCCCACACCTTCCCACAGCCAGGAAGCCCCAAAGCTCCTGCTCCAGCCACCCCCTAAGGTCAAACATACACTGCACAATGTGTATTTGCAGAGATCTTGGTAGGCTTAAAAACACACCTCAAGGAAAAGCCAGTCCTGTTCCAAAAGGAGGCTCTAGCCCTAACAAGCAAGTGCRAAAAACAGATGGGTGGCAATTAAAAGAACCCCTTTTTCAGGGTTTTGTCTTCTGGGCTATGGTACAAGGCACCCGGCATGTCAGCCCTGTGACTCTGGCCAGTTCTTGCAGCCTGTGACTTAGCACAGKTTGTCTTAGGCTTTCATTTTCAAAGGAAGACACTTTGCAGCACAAATCTCTAATTCAGAAAAGATTACACACTGCTAAACTGAGAACCTGTATCTGTTTGTTCCTGTTGCCTCCACCCCAGTCTCAACTTCCTTCATGAGCAGMGGGAGAGAATGAGCAGATGCACACACACAAACAAAACACCACTCAGCGTGGCAAATGAAGTACTTACTAAGGTCTTCTGAGAGCTGAGGGAATTCATAAATGTGTTCACATGTGTTCCTGCTACTGGGGATGCAGAAGCCAAAATCAAAATCAAAGTTCTTCAGCAAGCGRTCTCGGAAGTAATGTCTCTCAATCATTCGGAAGTTTGACACTGGCTTTTCTCCCACTGTGAATTCCACTCTGCATGGAAGAAAGAGGGAAAAAAACAGCTGTTGGGAAGAACAGAGCCCTGGGCACAAGGCTACACAAGAGTTCTCTACAGAGAGTTTGAKATTGGTAGTCTAAGATGAACTCTCTTGAGTCTTCGACTCGGTTTTATTACAAATTGTCAAGAAACACTTTGTAAACATCCAATTCTCCCTTGCTTCCACAAACTCATACTCACGTTGCACCAACAGTCCGAAGACGGAGAAAAGCTGGGGTGAACTGGTACCGAACAAAGCGACCTGCACTTGCATCCAGTTCACTGCTGTCATCTTCATCYTCCTCATCGTGCTCTAGAAAATGCAACAGCCTGGAGTTATTCTGCTCAGATAGTACATGTAAGGTGATACTAGCTAGTGAGTGTACCAGGACAAGCTGCCTACTGCTTAGGTACTGAGTGTGAGCACATGCAGTAATTGGTCTGAGATTTATACTGGCACTAAGCAAAAGAGAAAAGATTTGCTATGACAGTTGGCCCAGCCTTGGTGACTCCAGAACAGAAGCCACCCCTCAATCTCACAGGATATCCACCCTCACAACTGCCAATGTGATTGAACTAATCTCAATTATAACCAGACCATAAAAGGGAAGATTGCCAGCTGATAGTACCCTCCCATCTGACAATAATCACACTTTTATCACAAGTTTCTCAGCAGAGATAAACTCAGTCCTATGCTTAAATGAGACTAATTTAGTCACCAGGACATACAGCAAATTKCAACCTCTCAGCTCTGAGTCTCTCTATCCTCCTTGCAATGTTTGCATGCTGTACCTGAAGCAGATGGCTTTGCAATTTCAAACAGTACTGTTCCAGTTTCAAGGTCCCGGATCTTAAACCGAGTGAAGTCAATGTTGTAAATGTTGTCCTCAGGTTTGCATAAATAATCTAAAAGAGAGAAAAAAATACAGTAACATTTCAAACCACCTCTGACCACTCACCAAATGAATTTCCTTTTTTGTTAGCCCCAGCCCGGTATGGACTGGCCGTCATTGTGCAGAAGCATCATGAAAGCAGGACAAAATTAAGGCTGCAAGAAACAAAGGCATGGTAGGTGCCAGGTAGCAGAGCAAGAAAGAGATGGGAAYGGGACAGTAAAGCAGAGATCAGCAGCCCGGAGGAAAAACAAAAACCCCAAAAGGTTCAAACGAATCAAAACCCCCGAACAACACAAAGCCTCCAAACTTTGTGGAAGTTGTACGGGARCAGCCGGCGGGTGCACCCCGCGCCGCCGCGGCCAGCGCGCCCTCCCCTSTGCGGCAGCGCGGGGCCGGGAGCGCCGCTCCTCAGGGCAGGTGCCCGGCTCGGTGCCGCCAGCAGAGCCCCCGCCGCCCCGGGACCGGCCCGCACTCACTCTCCGTCACCCGGCACAGCCCCAGGACGTGCTCGGGTCGGACCGTCTCCAGCGCCAGTAACTCCGACTCGGTCCAGGGTTGCCGCGGCGGCGCATCGGCCGATCCGCGTCGGCCCCGCAGGCGGCTGAGCGGCCCCGCGGACCCCGGCGGCGGCTTCTTATCCGGTCCCGGCGTSGCCGCCGCCGCCCGCGCCCTGGAGCCGCTCATGGCCGCCGCCAAGATGGCCGCCGCCCGCCTCGGTAGCTATGGGAGCGCGGGGGGGCGGGGGGCGTTGCCTGGCAACGCSGCGCCCGAAGCTCAGCAGGGCCCGCCGCGGCCGCGCCCGGATGGGTGACCCGAGAGCCGCGCACCGGCACCGCTGACGCGGCAGCCCCGGGCCGCAGCGGGACAGGCCGGCCGGGAAAGCCGAGCTACCCGAAGGAGAACRACACAAGGAACAAACAAAACCAGCCCCTCTCCCGCTGCCCCCGGCCGGCTGCCAGCCCGCGCCCCGCTCCCGCCGCACCGCCCGGGGGCCCGGCCGTCACCCCTCGCTCGGCACCTGGGCTGCCGGCACTGAAGGCACGGCTGAGCCCGCAGCGGCCGCTGACACACAGCGCAGGTGTCCCCGAGAGATCTGCTCCCATCAGAGAACCATGGCAAGCACTTTCCGGGGAGCAGCAGCGTCAGCAAGGGGATGCCATGGAGAGCACATCCCGCTGCTGCCCGGGGACACCCCAGCGACAGAACCGTGTGGCCTGGGTCAGTTCCATGAGCGCACTCCGGAGCACACACCGGAGCGCACACCGGAGCACACACCGGAGGCGGCAGTGGCAAACATCGGACGAGTCTCCCCATCCTGGTGGGAGGGATTGGGGAGGTCCCACTTGGAGGGACTCACAGGAGCATTASACGGAGGAAAGGATGCATTTCTTCCCAAAGAGGGGCTGCCCACCAGCCCGCAGTAAGGCAGTAAAAGCTGCCAAGGGTCACTTCTAGCCCTCTGGGGAACTGGGGTGAAAACAACACACATCTGCATCCTCTTTTCAGACTCCAGCCAACACTGAACACGCTCACGMTGACCGGAAGCAGATCTTGAGCAGTGGTTTGTGACGCTTGCTGTGGTTTGTGAGCAGCACACACCTGCTGCTGCCAGGCAAATGCCATTTCAAAAAAACCTGTCCACACCAGTGCTCCTAAATCCCCTCGCTGCATGGGCTTGGTCCCTCCATCCTGTGCCCTAAGGAAGGACAAACCCAGGGGCCAGGGTCCTGTAGCCCCAGGAGCACCCCTAGAGCACAAAGCTGCTGCTTTCTCTCTGCTCCAGCCCCATCCGCCTCTGACATGGTTTCAAGCTGAAAGCGGGGCAGCTTGCAAAGCCCCAGAAGGCAGATTACATCTCTGTGGTGCTCTAGCTCTGAGCAGGAAGCAACAAGGTCCACATCAGCACTTTGAAGAGGATGTTGTACCATTCAATTTGCACCTAATCACTCAAAATGACTGGCAAGAGATCACCAGAGCCGTACTGGGGGCAGCAGCAGAATGTTACCCTGCAGTCAGCCAGGCTCAGCCTCCCTCATCTCAGTGTAAAAACCAGAGGTGGCTCCTCTGCCCCGACCACCAGAAAAGAGGGACCATCTCATCCAAGTGACAATATAATTTTGTTTATTTTCMTTTAGCACACTGCTGGTTAAATTGCCAGACAGTAGATTTCAGAACATTTTCTCAACCAAACATCCTGGGGAAATCAAAAAATAAAACTGCTACTGTGTACCAAAAATAAAATAACCCACCCCCATGCCCATCTTCTCCCCCAAACTAGTCCCTGCAAAGCTGATGCAATCAGAAATAGGTATCTGTGCTTTTCACCCAGGGCCCAAGCTTGCTGCAACACAAACTAAAAAATAAAAAAAAAAAAGTCACTGCAAGTTGTTATAACACAAAGCAATGGGCAGTAAAATAAAAAAAATCCTCCTCAAAACTGCTTTGTACTGACAATGTACAGATGGAGATTTCTCCCCACACTGCTTCAGCCTTTACAGACAAGGCAGACCTGCAGCTTTAAGTTTGTGATGTGTCCTTAATGCCAGTGGCACAGGTCACTTCCACACATCCACAGCCAGGCACTAGGGAGTGGTGGGACTCACTGCTGCTTCTCAGAGGCTCTGGGRCTGCTTTACCAACCCAGCTGCTCATCAAGTGGGAAAGCCCAGAATTCACAAAGCCCCCAAGGAAACCACAAAAAATTCAAGCCCCGACTTGCCAGCAAGTTTCCAGCTACTGCTGCACTCCACAACTCCAGCTCAGGAGTGTGACAGAACAGCCATGGGAGCACAGGAGAGCACATCTCCATTAAGTGTGACTGCAAACAACTCCAGGGCAGAGATCCTGCATTTCCTGGATTCACACTCTCCCCACCAAAATTGGTTTAAGCTGTACTTTGCCCCTTGCCTTCAAATCTCCATCACAAAAACTCTTTAGTAGAAATCACTGATGTTTGCAAAATATTCACATTTTCTAATGAGCCAGCACAGTTTCTAGGAGGGAGGAAAGCACTTGTTCTGTTGATTTTTTTYCYTTTTTTTTTTAAATAAAGTACTTTCTGGGGAAAAAGAAATCAAAGCTATCAATAACCTGCAGTAGCATTCCACTGATCAGACTGGGGACAGCATCATCACATCCCTCCCACCCCCCATCTTCCCCTCAATCTCCAAAAATAGTATTTAATATACAGCAATAAACTCTGAGCAAGCCAGAGTCCCGGAAGACATGGACCTGCTTTCACCTCTCCCATCCAGCCCAGCACCTTTCAATGCTACAATACTCCTGGGTCAAATCCATTTGGATCCAAGGTGAATGCCCGTGCSCCAGACCCGCTGGGCAGCACAAAGCAGGGGTGCAGCACAGGAGGCCCAGCTGTGGGATAACATTTCTGAGCCTTCACAGCTCCAGCCTGGTGTGCTTGTGCTGTGTACAATACTTGTGTGAGCCTATTCGGGACCAGCCGGTACAGCCAGACTGGTGGAACCAGGCCGACAGTAAAATAGCATCCTTGAATTGTATTAGGCTTTGGCATTTGTTGTGGCGATGCAGAAGTGCCAGTAGGTAAATCAGCTCAGCGCTGGCCCAGTTCCCATTTCCCTTGGATTCTCAGCAAGGGTATTTCCYACCCCACCATAAGTGCAAGAAGCAGATGATCGCTCCCACATTTGAGCACCAGAGCCAGAAACACTTGGTACTTCTCAGCTGCTCAGAATCTGTCTCACACCAAGGGCTGAAGCTGCTCTCATGGCCCTCTCCCTCCTGCTGTTTCCTATCAGCAACAGGCTTGCTCAGCCCAGAGTTCCTGTAGTAAGACATTTCCCTGGCTCTTGCAACCCCTTTTCAACTTAAAGGCCAAGGGAAAAAGCAGGGGTCTCTGCTCTGTTCAGCCCTAAGCAGCATGGGGCAAATGAGGGCTGCAGGACCCCCCAACCCCACTCTGCACCCAGAAGCTTCAAGTGCCATCTGACTACCAGGAGCCAGCGTGACTCACTCAGCTCTGAACTCCAGACACCCAGGCACCAGACTGTCTGCAGGTTCTCCATCCTGTCTTCAGGAGATTTCCGGGGGAGACCAGACCTGAAGGAGCTCTTCCAGTTCTTCTGCCCCCTGTTAGACTTTTCTTCCAYTGACCTTAAGGGCTAGAAATAAAGATACTTGCTCACAGTTCTCTGCTTCAGCTATGACCTCCAGAGCTGGCATCTGGGGATGGGGAAACAGTCCCCAACTGATCTCGAGGGCAGGGAATGCCTGTCCCTTGAAGAAAAAAAAAAAAAAAGACTCAGAAGCTCCTTAAAAAAAAAGAAGCTCCTTCAAATAGACTTTTATTCAAAGCCTGAGACAAAGGCACCAAAAAGGGAAGGGATTTCATTTGGCTTTCTGTTCACTGCCACCTGGGACACTCAAAAGGGTCAGAGATGTTTAGTCACACACACTGAAGACTTCAATGGCCTGGCTTAATGAAGGGGCTGATGGGGACAATTAAAATCATCTTAGAAATCACTATGCTGAGGCTGGATCCGGGCCTGAAATATGATAGACAGTGATTTTCCCTTTATTAAGTGGAAGCTTTATTAAAATGGCCTTATCTGCCCCTCTCTACACATGAATCAAGTCAGGGTCTGTTCTGACCCAGCTCCCTACACTGCTGCTGGCAGCACAAACAGGCTTGTCTCTAACCTGTCTCAGTTAAACAATGTCTTGGATATTCCCTCAAACATCCATTCTGGAAAGCTACAGCCAGCCCAGACTTTTTCTTTAGCTGCTCAGGCCCAGGTATCTCATTACACCCCTCAGACTGGCTTGCAGATACTAGACAGAGATGGTTAGGGGAGCCAGAGTGCTCCATTCCCAGCAAGGTGCTGACTGGCCATGCCCCACCGTGCTCCCACACGCTTTGTTTTAAGGCTCCTTCTGAGGAAAACCTGTCAGGAGGGGATGGACCAGGAAGAAAACTTCTCACAGCACCTGAACAGGGTCAGGAACCCCCRAAACCCAGCTTTGTAATGAGAAAGATGCATAAAACCAGAGTCAAAACAACTAAATYGAAGTCATGAAGGATGAACTATTTCTCCTCCCTATTCTTATTCAAATAAGACAAATTCATTTGAACTGAGCAACTGGAACAAAACAGATCACACCCTGCTCAGCTCTGCCTTGGGGCAGCTGATGGCACCAAATGAGTGCCCTGGCTGCCAGGAGAGGCTGGAATAAACCATCCTAGAAGACTTGTCTCTGACTTTTGCACATCTAAATGTACACCTTTTTCTCCCATGGTAGGCAAGGTGCTGAGATTACTGGCTGAGCCACAAGAAGCTGACTGATTCCTCACTTCAAGGATGCTCAAATAAAATGCATCCTAAAAGGCCTGGAGGAGAGTAGCTCCTTAGAGAGACGCCTGCTTTCAACCCTTGGTTCTTTGCTTAACAAATCAGYGCAGTTCATGGTTTTCAAAATTGATAAAGATCTAAATGTCTCTTCGCTCCAGTTAGAGCAATCCCAAAAAACACTGGAGAATCCCTGCAGGCACTGTCACTGAACAAATCAGAGCTCATACTTTATAATGGTTTTATAAGTATTAGATTTTAACAGCAGCTAAAAGATGAAACAGACAACTTCAAGCTTACCACCTTTCATCCTAAGGTTTGTTCTTCAAGATGTGCTCTCTAAAGCCTGTCTTCTCCTTTAACTGGGGCAGGGACTCTCTTGCTTCTCTCCCAAACTGACTGTTACCCCKTGTGCAGTTGGAGAGAAGATAAGTTACGGTCTGCTTGTTTTTGAGCTCACAGAGATAGAATTAGGGTCAGGCCCATAGCAGTGATGTGTGTGATCAGAAAGGCARGGTTCAGTGGCACTGCTGCAGAGACCAGCGCTTTGTCACCTCCCCCAACTCTCACTCCGGAGCCCCTGAGCTGACAGCTCCTATCACAGCCTGAGGGTCAGGAGGAAGTGAAGGCTTCAGCTGCCTGGGCCCAGCAGAACACAAAAGGCTGCTCCTCCAGTTCCCTTGCCAGAAACTCGGTACTTCTGCTAGCCCTGCTCATCCCAGAGAGAGCCTGAGCCACAGCAGGGGATCCAACCCAGGAACAGCCGCTAGGAAAATACAGACCCAGAGAGGCAGAGCAGCAYGGAGGTCACTGCTCAGTGCCACTGCTCTGGGGAAGGACAGAACACTTCTGAGGACAATGGAGAGAGCGTGAGGTAAAGCGCTCTGTGAGCCCAGGGCACAGCAGCATCGAAGCTGATCTGCAAAAACCCAACCCTTSCTAGGACAGATCCTGCTCCAGCACAGAACATCTCCCTCCTGGCCAACCAGAAATGCTCAACATGCTGGAGGCCAAGACTGTGAGAAGTCAGCTCTTCAGAGCCTGCAGCCCTGGACCAGTGGGTGCAGCAGTGGCTTTCACTCTGTTCAGCCTCTGTCAGGTAGGCACAGGCTCTGCACGTGGAAACAAAAGCCTCTTTCAGAAATATCCCTGGGGGAAACAGGTGACCTTGTCTCCAATGCTCTGTTCACTTCCAGATTTCTGGAAGGCAACAAACTGCCTTGCTCTGCAGGACTGAACTGCTGGACATCTGCCCCTTTGCTACAGTGCCAGAGTATTCAAAAGACCAACTCACTCACKGCAAACAATGACCAACTCCATTTCTCACTGCCACAGGCAGGTCTGGTCCCTCAGAGGAGAGACCACAGGGAGCATGCACCAGGTTGCTCCACTGTCCTATGGCACAGGTTGTTCAGAGTCATGGAGAAGGGAGCTCACCATTGGGAAGGTCAAGGAACAAGTCCCGAACCACCTCACTAGTGCACCTGATTCTCAGCTTCTTCCAAAAAAGAGGTCACTTGCTAGAAAGGGCAAAACAAGAACTGGGCTTAAAACAAAACCTTTGAAAATAAAAGGATATTAAAGGAAACAAAAGCCATAATCAATACAGAAAACAAGTGCATCTGATCAGACACTGACAACGTCAGCATCTCGCAGGCTACAGCAGAATCCCTCTGCGATGGAACATTGCAATTGCCAAACTAGGAAAGTCTCTCCCAACCGGTGCAGCAGATCAGGTGAGATAAACCCCTCTGCTCCTGGCGCAGCTTGCAGTCTGAGGAGGGGACAGTCTCCACGGAGGCTGGGCTAGAGCCTTGGTATCTTCACGCCAGCGAGTACCATACATCGTGTTGCACTCATCCAGGGAGATGCTGAGCCAGACTCTGTCCTCTGTAGCTGCTTGACACCCAACAGCACCACAACACTTCCATGATCCTGGACAAAATGTGTACCCCAGCCTTGTTTCAAGAACTGCTTTCCTGCTTAAGGAACCGTATTCCACCCGGTAAAGGCAGAGATCCTACAGCACATGGCTTTCTCTCAGTGTGGGACATGGCCCAGGACTGGTAGCATCAGCTTTCAATGGCCCAATACACACCCAGCCAGGACTCAGTTCACTCTTGGATGCTCCAGGGAGAATCAGAGGCTGCACATGGTGCGAAGGGGACGGCGAGGGCCTTGCTGCTTGCTGGCAGGGGGAAGGTAAGCTCCCTCTTACCTGGACCTGCTATTCATTGCTATTCATTCCAAATGAATCATCTTTTTTTTTTTTTTCCTTAAATTATGAACAATATGGAGAAATTGAAAGCAACCATATTTGGTCCAACTCCTTCCCTCCCAGCCCCTGGGCTGATGCACTGTGGGGCTTGCTCTCACAATCGGCAGAGGCAGAAGAGGGTAGGAATGAAGACACCAAAGGCCACCAATATAGGAAACATGAGGCTGCTGTTGTCTGAGGCATAGGGGTTTGGTGTGCGTGGGCCTGACTGAACCCGGTTCTTATTTGCCTGTTTTTTGACACTGGAGCCATCGTCATATTCATCTTCATCATCATCTTCCTCTTTTTTCTCCAGACCTGGGTGTGGCTGCAGCTTGGGAACATCTGTTGAACAAAAGAAAAGATTGCAAGCAGAAAGGATGTAAATCGAGAGACCACTCAAGACACTTCCCCTCTCCCTGATCCAACAAGAACATGGGCAAGAGGGCACCTGAGACCACATCAAAATCAAAACCAGAACACCACCGAAGAGAGGAACATCTCTCACAGATGATCACACCACTATTTCTTTTCTTCATGAGATAAGAGCATGCAGAAAAACTACATCCTTCTACACCATCTAYGCATCACACAGACAAGGTAATGCACAAAAGCACCCTTAGAGCACAGATACTGAAGCTGCTCAGTAAGATCTAGTCAAGAACAAGCACCTGCTGCCTGCAGGACCAGCAGATACAGGTGCAAACAGGAATGGGAACAATSCCTTCCATAAACTCCACATCACTGCACCCCCCAAGCCCAGAGCTATGAGAGCTGCATGGCCCAGCCCCGCTCAAAGCCAGCCTTCTGAGCCTGAGGCCTGAGCTGCAGGTGCCACCAGGCCACAAGGTTCTTACCAAATCTTCAGCAGCACTCGATAATCCCTGACTAATAGTAAAGCAATATTGATATTTTGGTCAGAGAGAGATCCTAAACCCTCCCAGTTCAGGGGCTAGAGCAGCTTCAACTCCAGCTCACTTATAAAGAGGGTGATGAAGGAAGAATTTTTCTAGCACTTCCCAGAGCTATCCAGAGGAACTGGTATCTGGAAAAAAAACACTGCCTTGTCCTCAAGCTGAAAAGGCAAAACAAAGCTCCAGGTAAGAAATACTTAACCACTAGCTAAAATAACTGTAGATTATTTGTCTGCAGGGCTGCTGCTGACATCCAAGGCCAGAGGGAATTTATCTGTRCCTATAAGCTGAGACTGACCAGACATGTTCCGTTATTGTCTACCCCATACACAGGAAATTCTGAAACAAATGGATTTTTCTCATTCCAAAATGACACAGCTTTGTGACTCGGAGCAGAACAATGACAGTACACACCTACTTCACTATGCAACTGCACTCTGTGGAAACTCAGTGAAAGAGAAACAATTTTGGCAGATGTGGGTCAACAAGAGCTATGATCTCATAGTCTGAGAAGCAACAGGCTGCTCTCCAAGGGGGAAGAGCCTTCTGGCTCAGAAACTGTGCTTACCTTCCACTGTTCCTTGCAGGATGTATAGGGCACAGATTTTTGGATTGTCATAGTAGCCCTAGAGAAAGAAAAGGCAGCAGTCAGGGCTACAGTCTGAGGCAAGGAAYGGTCTCCCAGCTACCAATACCTCTCCTTTTCCAGCATACAGCTGTACCATGTGACTGGGAAAGGGGGAAAGGGAAGATCAGGGCTCTGCCCTGAAAAGCTTGTTACCTTTACAAACTCAATGTGGAGCTTTCCTGTGAATGTTGAAACCTCTCCCTGGACACTCAGTTTTCCCTTTTTGATACTCATGGGAATGATCTCATCGTGAGCTGTGCTGTGTCCAACTCTGTCAAAAATGTCCAAGTCTTTCACCACCACGTGGCCATTCAAGCGAACATCAAATACCTTCAGGGTGGAAGAAATGACAGAGAGTCAGAACAGATTCAGGCACGTGACAGTTGAAACGGGAACAGAACAGGAAAGGTCTCTGCTTTTTATGCACCCAGGACCAGAAAGCATTGTAACATGCACTGGCCTACTCCTCTGGKAAGGACACAGAACCCAAAAGCAGCCAGGTAAAGACACTGAACATTAACAATGCTTTCCAATACCCTGAAATCTGCCTCTTCCTTTTAAAATACCCCCTACATCTGCTGTTCAGACCTGAGGACAACACAGTTTTATTCTGGTTTATTCATGCTTCTCTTTCACAACTTTTCTCCTGTCTGAAGACCTGCTCCTACCACCCTGGGGTGGCTGTGACACACCACACCCTAGGGAGTGAAGCAATTTCTAACTAACAGCCTGCAGCAGAACAGAGAAGAGGAAACAAGCTGGTGAAGAACACAGGGTTTGAAGGAGGGAAAAYGTTTAACTGCTAACCACATCTGCGAATTCAGAGTGAAAGTCGTCCTCAGGGCTGCAATGACTCAAACTTCACACAGCACCTGGGRAATCCCAGCAGAACCACATGAAGGAAGAGGAACCAAAGATGCCTCAGCCCTTCAGTTTAATCTGAGGGTGCTTTTTGCATCTGTTCTGTAAGCCAGCCCCACCAGTTCTGCACCCTGAAATACTTCTCTGGCAGGAAGGCAGCACAGTGCTTAAGGAGATCAGCCCTAAAGAMGCTGATGGAATCAGAGGAAAGGCAGACTAAAACACAAACCACTCCTACCCCAATTTATCACAGGGCTTTGAATTCTGTTTGCTTCTGCTTCTACTTCTGTASATGAGGGATTTCAAAAGTGGACAAGGATTATTCTCTGAAGAGCAACAAGCAGTTGAATTTAACTCTGTGCTTTCAGGATCAGACTGAAAGAGCATCAAGTCTTATTACGTTCATAAAAATTGTTTTGAATAGGCTACTCAACCTAGATCACCTCCCTGCTTCAATCTGTGCAATATTCCTCTGGCACAACCATGCTGTCAGGTCAGAGACAAGAGTTCAAGAAAAAGGAAAAAAAAAAAGCTTCTCAAAGCCAGCACAGCCTACACAGGTTGTAAAACTCTATTGCTAGTTATGTTTAGTTGCTTGTGTTTGTTTGAATACTTTGAAATTAAGTTTTCCAGTCCAACTGTATAGCTRGAATGTGGAAGAGAGCTCTAAAGGTTCAGAGCCTGTGAGAGGTTAGGAACTAAGTGTACCATTAGTGCCTTACTTCACTCCTTCCTCCAGCATGCAAAGCAGCTGAGACCTGAGCAYACAGAGTCTTAGCCAGGAACTCACATTAGAGACACACGAGAAACTATTGCTTACCTTCTGTTGAGACTGTGCAAAATAGACYTCTGCAAACTTCAACACCAGCACATAGTCACCCTCCTCTTTGATGGGAACTTCATAGCCAAAGGTTTCCTCATTGTAACGCTCTGTCTGGTACAGAATCTGGTCTTCTGCGTTGGACCGCAAGATTGGCAGTTTCATACCATAGTCAGAAGCTGGGTTTGGAGCACAAAGGAGTGAGAGGAAGGGTTACATTCTGAGGAAGAAACAACTCCAAAGTGGTATCAGCACTTATGCCCTGTCAGACCCGTCTCCCTTCCTTGTCTGACCAGGTGGCAGCACTACCAGAGCAGATGCACAGGTAGCCAAAGCCCCAAGAAATGTAGGAAAATGGGTTTGGAGACCTGCAGTCTAASACATAGGAAACTCATTTGCACCATTTCAGAAAGAAGAACCTGCTTCATAAACACTAAACGAAACAAAAGGACTCAGACATTGGCTCTTTAAAGAGCCTTTGATCCTTTAAAGAGGAAAAACATGTACAATAATTTTATAATATCTTCAATTTCAAATTCCAAAACTAAAACAGTCTGCATAGAAGTGACTTGACTCACTGACACAACAGATTTGAAGTTAGCAGTTAATGTGTGTTAGAGACTCATTGCCCCTCAACTAAGAACCTGGGGAATGGCAGAAGGGTGAAAAGAATTAGGCATCTTACAAAGACCTTTCTTCTCACCACGGTCCCACAATACCTGTCAGCATGGAGACAGGAGGAAGGAAGCAAGAAAAATACACAAGGGTTTCAAAAGCACCAGCAGCTCCATCAGGTGATGTTCTCAGAGATACCAAGCTGAAATGGGTGCTGTCTGCAGGCATCTGAAGACCCCACTGAGAATGGCCCAAACAACACTCCCAAATAGGACAATAACTGATAGAATAAGAGAAATCACAAAATTTGCCTCTTTTCAGCGTTTTACCATCTYCACAGCAGCCCCCAAAAATTCTAACCCCACTTGGTATGCTATTGTGTCAGAGTTCCTGTATAAATGCAAACTAATGCAATGCCTCCAGAGCTGCACATCAAACAATTCTCCAGTGAAGSAGGGGCAGGAGGGAAGACTGTGGACATCATCAGACAGAAGTTGATCCAGACSAAGTTCTCTGCTGACACTTACTTCTTCCACCCCCATTTCCATGGGAACAGACAATGCACTGGCCAAGACAAAGCGAGAACTACTAACCCAGCACTCGTTGCCAAAGACAGAGCCAATGCAAACGAGGGAGAGGAAATTAATGCCAGTTCTTAGTCTCCTGTTTCACAGAGCTGCTCAGGCAATCTTCCACTTCTCTTTACCACTTGAACCTGGGCATAGAGACTGAAGACTCTAATCACCAAAAATACAGAGGGTGAAARGTTTAACCTGTCCTCCCACGCAGGTATTTCTGGCCAGCTACAGATTACAGTGATAGCAAACCAAGGACTCCACACAAGTCAGCTCCTATTAAAGGAAAGCCTGCACAGGAAGAAAGTCCTTTAATAGCCAAGAAGGTAACTGGAGAGGAAGAACTGTCACCTGCATGTCAGAGCTCTGTTGACAGAGCTGTGGAGGCAAGTTGGGTTTTAAAACATGCTGGGTGCTCACTGGGAGCAAGCAGTACACACCAAGCTGTAACTCAGCTATGTCTGGCACCTGCATATTCTGTAATTGCCATGAGCACAGTCAGTCCTTTAGGGCACAGCGGCTGAATGGAGGCTAGGAAAAAAAAAAAAGGTTTTATTTTGCCCAGAGGCAGTACAGCCCAGAATTACTATCCCCAGGTCATTTCCTMCCAGTCAGCCATACATTTCTGCTGCAGTCCTTACATGTCTATCAACACAGAGAGGAACCCAGAGAAAACGAACAATGGTGCAATAAAAAGCCATTGAGGGAAAGGCAGCTGAGAGCTCAAAGGGGTAAAGTCTCCACTGTGCCTGGCACCACTGGCTGAAGCAGGATTACTGCAACAGCCTGCTGCTCAGAGGAGATACCACAGGCTTTCCACAAAGGAAGTGAATGTCACAATGTGCTTGAMAAAGACCCTTTTTTCTCTTCAACTCAAAAATAAATAGTTGGAAGTCCACAAGGACATTCAAGTCACACATGTGAGAGGTCTATGAAGGAAAGCTGACCTATAGTGACTGGGGCACCTTGTGCAACTGGGCCAGCAGCATCCACGGGTGTGAAAAACTCTATTAGTATTTAAATGTGACCTCCACTGTATCCACTGTGCCTAAAAGGCTCTTCATTTGGGATGGCACTCATGCAGGGTAAGCAAGGGCAGTTCCAGCTGTRTAGCACAGGAAAATCCTCACCCTCCTATATGGAAATAGCAAAGGTTAGGCTCAAAAGTCAACAGAGAGCTCATTTTTTCCACATTCTGCCRCTCACCCTGTAAATGACAGCAGAGCGGCTCAGCACAGCTAGTTTTTCAATRCATTAGTTAATCGACTAAGTTTTGRTGCACCAATTACCAGAAATATACACAATTCAAACTGTGGKGGACTCGGAGAAAGTAGGAAAAGGTAACCCAAGTGCAATATTAGATCTCCATCCTGTCCTAAACGGTCGACTGAAGATTTTACTGACTTGGTAGTTAGAGCAGCTGATGATATCCCATCTGCCTCTATTTCTGCTCGTGTCCCTGCCCTTGAACACCCAGCCAGGACCGGGGCACGGAGCAGCCCTGCCGGCTGTACCTTCCCCCTGCCGGGCCCAGCACCGGGGCTCCAGCGAACAGCCTGTGCTCTTCGCTATCGGACCAGAATGCTGCAAGCATCAGCCCACATTGTGCGCGACCCGGATCCGGCTGCAGAGGGCTGGCAAAGCTGTTCCCACCGCACCGAGCGCGCTGCAGACCGGGCTGCGAACCGGCGGATCSTGCTGTGGAACCCGGGCTCTTCAGTGGAAAACGGGTGAAAAAASGAGACCGGCGGGCGCACGCGGCCGGGCAGGCAGCCTGGCCGCTCCCGCCGCCTTTCCAGCCGAAATCCCACTCCAGCCCTCGCGCAGCCACTTCCCTTCGGCATTACACAACCCCGCAGCCTGAGGCCAGGAACACCATCCCGCAGGGCTCATGCCGCCGCTTCTGGAGACCGGAGCCCACACCGCCACGGGGACGGGGGATACGGCCCCAGCTGGGCCCGACGGCAGGACGAGGGTGGCCGCGGTCCCGCGGGTGCCCGGTGCCGACGGTGCCTTCGGGCCATGACCGTCCCCGAGTGGCTGGGGAAGAGGAGCCCCCGCTGTCCTGCGGGGACAGCCACCGACCTCCCGGGGCTGCAGCGGGCAGGACGGCGCCCAGGGCGCGCGGGTCCCGGACTCCGCCGGCACAGMAGGGCCTCACTGCCCCGGCGGAGCRGAGCCGAGCGGGATCCCCCGGGCAGTCCCGCCGAAAGCCCCCGGCCGCGGCGTGTCCCCCGCCCTCACCTCGGCCCACGCGGCCCTCGAGCGGGTCCTTGCGGAAGTGGATGCCGTTCACGTCCACATGGGCATCGCCGCCCGCGTTGACGGCCCAGACCACGCTGTCGGCGATGCCGCCCGCTGCGCCCCGCAACAGCAGCGGCAGCAGCAGCACGGGCGGCAGCAGCGGCGCCCCGCGCGCACCGGCGCCCACCATGTCGCGCTCCCGGCGCCGCGCCCGCCCCTTCCTGCCGCCGACAGGGGGCGGCTTTCCCCGCTGCCGGGGCGGGGCGAGCGCCGACCAATCCGCGCGCCGAAATCCGAATATTAATTARCTGCCCGCCTGCCATTAGACAGCCGCGGGCCTGTATCTGCATATTCATGAGGCGGTGGGCCAATGAGCGGCGGCGATAGGCGGGTTGGGCTGAGCGGCGCGGSGACACGGCGAGAGCGGCGCGGGGAACTGGTCCCTGCGGGCCGGGGTGCCCGGGGCCGGTACCGTGCGCAGGGAGCGAAGCGCTGTGGAATCAGCTCCCCCAGGAAGGAGCGGCGGGGACAGACGAGGCTCTCCAGCACTGTGTCCGGAGCGGAGACAGCCCGACGTGCTGCCCTGAGCGCCGAGCGCAGGAGGGCAGAGCCCGCCCCTCCGCGCCGCCAATCGCGCGGCTCCAGCGCGGCGGAACGCGGAGCACGGCGGGGCGACGGCGGGAAGCGCAGACGGAGGGTTGCCGGGGCAACGGGTGGCGCTGTGGCAGTGTGGTGTGCTCGGGGAAGGGGCTGGCAGCGGAGCTGGGGCACAGGGTGCTCCGCCGCCGTGGGGGCGGCTCCTCGCCACGTCCCGGTAGCTCCGTGCCCGCTGTGCTCCGAACAGCAGCTCCCAGGCCCGGCTCGCTGCCTTGGAAGAACACGCAGGTTCTTCTGTTCGCCCCTGCCATGGAGTAAGGGAAAAGGGARCTGCGGGAGCTGCTGCCGGCCCGGTAAGAATGGAGCGGCCGGTGGCCTGCAGGCGCCTTGCACCACAATCATCTGCCCGAGAAGCAAAGTGCCAGTGAAGGGGAAGGCAGAGGTGACCGTGACACTGCCAGCGGGCTGCTCCCTGGCTTGCACTTTACAGGAGAATGTAAGATCCTGGTTTTTTTTTTTTTTCTGGAGGACCTTGACAAGGTCTTGGGTGGCTGGAGTGAGATATCCCAGATGGAGGTCGAATGAAACTCACTCCCTACACGCTGGGGGAGCAAATAACTTAATGTTTGTCCTTCTGTCTGATCACACTGTTCCTTGAGGCATCAGATACTGGCCAGGCCTCAGGGCTGTGTTCCTGGCACTGGCTTGCATCAGCAGYGGTTGCTTCTAAGTCCCGGTGACGTTTTATTAATTCAAGTCTTCTGCAAAGCATTTGCTTTTATAAATAAAGACTTGGTGCTGTAGACTGAATTAAACGGGTTTGTTGCTTTTATAATGCACTTGGAGGCCTCTTAACTAGACACAGTTTTGGAGAAGTGAACTGTCTGGAGGAATGTGTAACCACCCAGCCCCTGCTCCCCAGCCTGCTCTGCCCAGGTTGGAGTGGACCCCAAAGCGTGTTCCTGCTGCAGTGACATAAGTTCTTGGGCTCATGGCATAACTGGGCCAGGGCAGACATGTCACTGCTGCAYTCCCACACCAGCGCTGCTGCCTGGAAGAGGTTCCTAAAACCACAGGGTGCCTTAGGAAACCGTATCCAGATTAGTAGCACAAAACACGCACGCTTAGCACCTCTCCAGATTCAGCCACCTCACGCTGATTCCTGGCAAATCATCTCAGCGTTACAGACCCAAACTCTCGCAGCATCTGATCAAATCCAGGCTAATCTCTTATATCCCTGCTGTGTTTGTGACCTGTTGGGTGTTCCCCAAGTTCTGTTACCAAAGGAGTGCAAGCAGCCATGGCCAGGACAATGCTGTCCAGTTGGCGAGGCCGAGGGAGGCCTCATTATAGCTCATTTGTGCTGATTACAAATGATCCTTCCTAATCCTACACTTCAAACTGTGATGTGTGGGACAGGAGCACAACTTTGAAGCACATAAACACTTTGAGTGTTACCAGTAGTCCCCAGGCACAGCACTTTCTAGTAACTAGCCTGGATGATCATTTCCCAAGAATCAGCGGCCCATCACAAAGCAAGAGGGATTAATTGAGCAGCAGTGAGGAGTGGCTGTGCTCATCTGGGGACACGAGGAGACCTCACCCTCGGTCACAGACTGGTCACAGCCCCTGGCAGAGGACAGCAGACACGCCATTTGGCCTGTGTCTGCAGTGTCCTACACTGCGGCCCCGAATCGATACTTGCTGTCACCAGCAACTTGATGCCAGCTTGTGCCCCAGATGTCAAAGGCTCTATCCTGTTACTAATCCACTGAGCCATCAGTCAGTCCCTTGATGCAGGCTGGATTTAYACCAGTAACCTACAAGTGAAAGGCCCAGGGTCATCTTCTCAATCCCTTGATCTCTCCCTGTCCCCTGGTAGCTGTGCTAAAATGACCCAGTCTTGAATCAGTCCTTGGTCTACCTACAGCCCTGATCGTTCACAAGCGATGAGGGGCACATGCTTAGGGCATTAGCCATTTCCTGCTGGAAAATGGGATCAGGATTTGGGATGTCCAAAACGAACAGCAAAGATGTGTGGGGCAGAAGCAGTCCTCGGTGCTAATGAGACATCTAAGAAGCCAGTGTGAGCCCACCCAACTGCCTGAGCCACCTCCCAAATGGGCACGGGGCTACAAAGCTCAGGTGCCCAAAAGGGACCAGSTGCACCCTGCCATGTAGGGCTCCTTGGAAACCTCCCTGATACCAAACTGGAGATAAGAGCAAAAGGATTATCTCTGGAATTAGATTATTTAGATTGCATCTTTAATCTCTGCCCCTGTCTACACAAGAAAATAGTAAAAATCCCTAGGATTATTTGGAGTTGTGAAAGTAAAATCAGGCTGGCAGCAAGAGCTTCTGCTGGAAGAAAAAGAAATGAAGGCTTTTGAGACCTGCCCTGTCTGACCTGTTCACTGTATCATGGTGAGACTTGGCAGAAAAGASCTACAGATGATTTGGCAGACTCAGTTTTTCTCAGAAGTAGCTATGGCTCCAGGACTGCCTCTCCAATGACACAAAGGTGTCCTGCAGCCAACCCTTTGCCTAGTATTTTTGGAATGACAGGCAGAGCTCTGCCACAGTACGAACATAGGAACCTGCCTAAGTGAAAGTGGCCATAATTTGCGGGTAAGATGTCCAGCCACCATGATGCTGCACTGTGCATCAGTCCGGCCTCTAGAATGGGGTTACCATTTTAAATGAAGACTGTCCTGCCATCTGATACTGCAGGCAAAAGATGCAGCTGCTCAGGACAGGGTCTGGGAAGGAGCAGACAGTGGCAGCCACCACATTTGTGGCCTCTGACTGTCCATCAGGCTCATGCAGGCTTGCTGTGGCATAAGGCATGTGCCTGGAGCTGTCGCCCAGTGCCCACAGGCAGGCACAGCACTCTGCAGCACACAGGCAGCAGCACAGCTGTCCCCCTGCTCTGCATGCTCAAGCAGGTCGTTCCTCAACAGGCTCCATTGTAAATGAGCACAGTTGTGTACCAGCACTCCCTTTGGCAGACAYAAGCCTGCACACAGCTCCCCCTCCCCAGTATCACCTTAAACACATTTATAGCGTACCAGGACTCTGGACTCTGTTCAGTTTATCACCATCATCTCCTAACCATGTTCAGTTTATCACCCGCATCTCCTAACCACAATACAGCTGCTGTGCCAGTAAATGTGGAGATCTGCAAATATCCATTTTCCAGTTTCTTGGTTCACACCCACATTTCCAAGATGGGACCAGCTCCATAGATACATACACAGTTTGCGTACACCCACTTGCATACAAACTCATCTACTGCTGCACTCCCAAGTACCTATCTGCACTTGCTTTTATGTGCACACACACAAACCCTTCCTAGTGCACACACCTGTGCAAACATAAGGAAGCATGCATACGCACACACAAATATAAGGAGAAACATTGTTTTTCCATTGCTGGAGCATCAGAAATCATAGCAGCTATGCTGGTTGGCACAGCAACAGGAAAGCAGAAGAGAAAATCCTCCTTTGGGACATGATTTGTGAACCCCAAGAATCTGAAAGAGAACCTCAGAAGGGAAAGATTTGAGATGGAGGAAGCAGGAAGTTATCGGTCCTTGACCTCCCCATTTGAGTAAGGAGGCAACCGAGAGGAAAATAGCTCCCACTCACACCAAGAAACACATGTGATGATGGTGCCCTTTGAAGCCAAGCAGAAATTAATGTTGGCAACTTGTGACTGAGCCTTTGCATAGAGAAAGGAGACAAYTGCAGGTCTGGTAGAGTAGGGGGAGTGGTAGGTTGAGAGTGTCTTGGGGAAAGCAGGATAAGTTCTGATGTGTCTGGAAGCAGCTGGTAGGGTCTGGAGGCTGCTGTCATGGTCACTGCTGCAGATACATGAGGCATTTCTGAGTGTGAAAAGGCTGGAGAACAGGGCACTGCCACACAAGGAGGCTCCCTGCCAATCTCCAGCACCAGTGGAGTTACAGCTCAGCTCCCACAGCATGGCCCCACTGTACATGTACTCACAGCTGTGTTTGAAATTATCTGAAAAGGGTGAGGTTGGCTATTGCTGGCTGTCCCCTTCCCACCCAGCTCCACTCTGGGCCCTTTCTCCCATTGCTCCTTGCCATGATACCACAGGGGCTCTCACCTGCACCCATGCCAGTGGAAGGGATGCAGAGATGAGGACCCTCAACACCACCCTCATCGTAAGGCACCTCCAGACCCCTTGGCCACGGGGACAGCAGGAGAGAGGGCAGACTCCTGACACAGGCTCAGTGGCCAGCACTGACTCCCCTTCCTGCAGCAGGGACTTGCCTCTGGATCCCAGTGCAGACACTGGCGTGTGCATCTGCCCAAGCCCTTCTCCCCCAGCCCGGCCACAACCTCTCACAGGGACATCCAGGCTCCACATAATTTCAACGTGCATATTTATCATTTTCCCCCCACAAGACATATAGTTGAATTTACTCTTAGTAAACATAACCATAGGAGATGCAAATAAGTGTTTGGGAAGCATAAAGAACTTCACACAGATAGACACACACTGAGACAGCAAACACAGACACGGTTCACCAAGGGAAACTAAACTAACAAGTGCAGAGCACGCCCTGAGGCTGCCACCAGTCCCAATGGCTTTGCTCTCATCCACCAAGTCAAGAGGATTTCTCCTGCTTTTGCTTTGCAATAGCTGGTGGGAGAATAAAGCTGGGGAGGAGGAGTCTAAAGTTGCAAATAGCCCATGAAATCATGGCAAGTCCTGGCTCTGCAGTTTCCTGCAATCATCTTCAAGGAATGGTTCCAGTTGTAGGAAGTTGCAAGTCTTTCACAGTGTGAAAGGGTGGAGGGGCATGGGGACCACCATGAGGGAGGAGCAGCAGGTCATCTTGCAATGTCCTAATTGCAGCCAGCCGATAAACCTTCATGTAGGAACATCGGGGCTAGATGCTCCATCTAGGTCCTCTTCTGCCCTCTCTAAGGTGCTGATTCTTCTTTAGCTGAGAATAATCTTCAACGGGACATCATGCGAACAAACTCTGTAATCAACAACACAAGACAGCCCTGAAGCACCATCCATAGTCCCCAACCCAGACCTCATTCCCTGGAGACAGCAGGGTGAAACTGGGAATCCCCTGGCTGCCAGCAAGTCTGTGCACTCTGAGACTGGCCCTGAGAGCTCACACAACATGGGGTTTAATCTTTGCATTAGATATGGTGATAAGATCCCACCWGCAGGTCACCTCAATGCCTTGGACTCCTTCCCAGCCACCTACCATMTTGTTTACACAAGCAAATCTTTGTGAGCCACTACAGGAAGCATTGTCTCCCTTCACTGTAACTTCAGTGAACCTTCATTTACAGTCTTYGGAACACTGTATGATTTCTTAGTAAACTTGCCACTTCACTGAGATACCAGTGTGGGAAAGTATGAAAGTTTTGCTAGATACCAGCATTTTTGTAGAGAAGGGTTTACTTTGAAGGACATGTTTTCAAAGATACAAGTTAACTGTAAGGATACCCTGGATGTATTTCTTGACCACCCTGCAGTTTGTGAAGTCAATTACAATTGTTTGAATTGAGTGTAAATGCCATCAAATATAAATGTGTTTTCATTCTGCACTTGAATTGCCGAGGAGCTAATGASTCTGCAAAGAGCAGGCAGTGGAAATTACCCCCTGACTTCTCCATTTCCATTGATGGAGCTGTCCTTTGACATCTAAAGTGGTAACTCACAGAGAAAATGATACTGGGATAGCACTTCATGTATTTTAGTTGTCTAACATAATTTAGCTGTGGGAAACAAGGACAGCTACTGTCATGTAATCAGCCAATGCATTAGAACAACTGCAGCCACCAGATACTTTCTAGGAAGACACTGGTGGTATTCTAACGTTTTCAAAGCCCTCAGAGGCTTCAGTAATCCTGAGCACTGAGATGCCTTGTCATGTAGGAGACCCAGAAATGCTGCTGAGCCAAAAAAATTATGCCAGTTTGACTCTAATTCTATAGTTCCTGTACTTCACCCTTACTGCAAAGGGACATCTGGATTTCCACCAGGGAAAAAAGCAGCCTGCTACACTCTCACACCTTCCAGCTCTTATATCTTCTTAGCTGTCTGATATCAACTGCTTCCTTGYCAGAAACCCTGAGCTCTATTAATATTGCTCCTGCTACAGCTAATGGCTAGGATAGTAGCCTAACCACTCTTATTTTTCAAAGTCCTTCTGGCATGAAAAGTGTGAGAAGAAATTAATTATCTTTTGGATGTAACATGACACCTCTAGATCAGATATCTGCAGTCTTAGTGAGCCCTCCTGGCATGTGACCATCTTCTGGCATAAAGGCACAGAAACAAATTCTCTATAAACCCAGATAACAAAGGTGAGCCAGAGGAAATGGGAAGGTGCAAYGCATTCTCCAAAGCAACCTCACAGCTCTCTCAACAGATTTAAAGAAAGGAAAATGCCCCATAAAATGATGGCAGGCTCAGCATGTGGGCACCAGAATCTGCTTCTGTGTGACAGGTTCTATCTCTTACCATAGATGCTAGAATTATGGAGACCCAACTGAAACTGAGATGCAGAAAGAGATGATGCACAAATGAATAATTCAGCTGACTGAAATAAAGAATCTTTTTCTCCATATTTCAGAAACCCGGGCCCTGAGCATGCAAATCTTCCACTTCAGCTTCAGATCTGAAACTCTGACTCACATCAGAGCAGATGGACAGCAAGYGTTGATCCCTTCTCACCTTCAAAATCCACACGCCCGTCTCCATTCAGATCCACGTCCCGGATGATCTCTTCAATATCCCGATGACCCACCTGCTGCCCTAGAAGTTTCTTCATGGCTTCTCGCAGCTCACTGGTGCTGATCTCCCCATCACCATTGGTGTCAAACTGCAAGTACATGAAAAATACCAGCAGGGGAARTATAGTGAATGGAAACAGATCTTGCTCCAGGTTGGTTTGTGTGTTGTCCTGCTCCTGACTGCCCTATATTTTCTCCATTCCTTCCATATTACTCCTTTTCTTCCTTTAGGTGCCTTTTGGATCCAGTCTGTCTTTTCTCCTCAGAACCCCCTTGCAAATGCTGTGTCTGCACCAGCTTTCCTCTTCCTTGCCTCAAGGRTTCCCTTATCTTAATAACATTCTCTGCTCTTCCCTTATTCCATGCCTGACTCGGCTCTTTCTAGSTCTTCCACTGTGCTGCTCTCTCCTTCATCTCTTCTCCAGTGGGTCTTCTCTCTATCCTGTCTTGTGTTGCYCACTTCTCTGGGGGCACATAGAAGGGATCACTCACCTCTCTGAAGGCATCACGGAGTTCTTTCACACCAATCATGTCTGCAGTCTCTGCTAGAAGTTTTGGTCCCATCAGCTCAACAAAATCTTCAAAATCCACATGGCCACCCACTTGGGACAAGATGAAAGATTGTGTGTAAGAACTCCAGAAGTTAGCCAAGACCAGCACTCACTTTCCACTTCTGTGTGTCCTAGAGAGCACTTGGTTCTCCAGGAAGCAAAGCACAGAAGGTGTGGGACAGTGGAAGGAAAAGCAGAGGTAGTTTTACCCTGTATTTTCTAGATTATGGGTGAAGCAGAATGAGCCCAAGCTATTCCATTCTAGGCTGCCATGGACTGTCACATCCTTATTGCATCACATACTACGTATTAGAGGCTTGATCGTTCTAGCGCTTATAGGAACTTTCTGCTGCGCCTGTGCCAAAGGGCATGGCAAGGGCACAGCATGATGTTCCTGCATGGCCTGGGCAGTGCCCTGCAGCAGTGCTAGAGTCCTGCTCCATTACAGCAGCTAATGCATGTCCAACTGTTTATTCATTGTATTAGTTCTTTTACTTGTTAGTGCCCTGAGAGCTGTCAGCAACACTCAAATTCCCAAGCACGCGTTATCAGCTGCTTTTGTGCATGACTTTGTGGTTAAGAATGTCACAGCTGTTTTCCTTCCCTTGACCAAGTGACTTGTCCTTTTAATACAATCCTGTGTCAGAAATTATATGCACTAAATATGCTTTCCCCACCTGGCTGAGGGTGAAACCCTGAACTGCCACAGATGAGAGGTGACAAAAAATGATGGTGAAAGACATGGGGAACAAATACAGTTACAGTGAATCAGATGCGTTCACCACATTTTTCCATGACTGCGGCAGATGCTCCCATCCGACGCTGCCAGCACAGCTTGCTTGCAGCCCATCCCCAGGCACGCAGCAGATACACAAACAACCACCACAAAGCAACAGCCCRTCCATCACCCATCTGATCAAAGCATCTCCATCTTCCCAGGCTTGCTCTTATGACCATCTGACAATAGCTTCAATGTGACAACACACAGAACCTGTGCATCAGTGTCTGACTGCCCACATCAAGGGCAGCTTTATACCTGACAGCATAAGCATGAAGGACAACCCTTCCACTCGCTGTTCCCATATATAGCACAGTGCAAACAGTCCCTTTGATAAGCAAAAACAAAGGCATTGACTTCTAGGGACCACAAACAAACAGGAGAGATGATAGGGAGTGAAAATCAGAACCAAAAGAAGAGAGGGAAAAAATCCAAAAGAAAAGAGGCAGCCAGAGACCAAGAGAGCCTGAGGCAATGATGCAGGGCACATGCAACAGGCAGGTACAGCCAGGTGTGTATTACTCACAGTTCATGTTGATCTGCTGGGAGAGCTCTATTAGCTCCATCTCAGTAGGCATGTAGCCCATGGTCCGCATGCAGTTCCCCAGGTCCCTGCAGTTAATAAACCCATCCTTGTCTTTATCAAACTCCTTAAAGGCTTCTCTTAATTCTGTGGGAATGGAAGAACAGTATTATCAGTGACAGCCTGAAATACTTTTTCCGAGAAGCCTCYCCAGAGTCAGCAGCACTTTACAAAGCCAGACTCTCTAAAATCCTTAGTATCTTCCCACCAGATCTCCCTGCACGAGGCAATGACTGGAGAAACATTAAGCTCTTCCGTCAGCAGCAAGGCTGACCCGTTCCTCACAGGAAAGCTTGCTTGGACTACAAGTGTCCCAAACTGTTCAATGCTGAACTGCGCTCCCTAAAGAAACTGCAACTAGTAAATTTTTACAACTTYTACCCCTGCACTCTATTATGTATCCCTCACTGTAGGGATTAGCAGGTAAAACAGCTTCCCTGGAGCCATATTACAGTGTCATGCTTTACAACGCTTTCCGTGGGAGCYGGGGAGGACAGCAGCTCCCCAAGAGCCAATACCCCATTACTTACTTATCCTCCCACCCTGAAGAATCTGAAATGGATGCAAATTCCTTCACATTTAGCACTCATATAGTTTTATATATTATTTCTTTTGCTAGGTTTTCCAGGAATTATTCCAGTAAACATATCCCTTGATTTACCCCAGATTACTTTAACCCATGGGGGCCAACATGGAAGGGCCAGCCAACACGTTTGCACTGGGCAAGGAGAAAGGGGACACAGAAGGAGCAACAAATTTTACCTTCAATTTCTTCCGGACGCAGTTCTCTATCCTGCAAAAAGAGAACACATTATGTTAAAGACATTTATTGGCCAAAAACATAGTTTCAAAATAGCACTTGTTGGTACAAAGAGTTCTGGGACAAGTCAGAAAGTGAGAGAAGAAACAAGAAGGTGATGACATGTTTAATACCATCTAGCTAGAACGCCTTCCCAGCTCTCCTTCCCAATGGGAGGGGTGTTAACCTGCACACTTTTCTCTGGAAGCCCCTCTCCATCTTATTGGGTGGACACGGGGATGACAGATGCTCCCTGAACACAATAGACCTGGACCAACACAGAAAGAGGTGTGGTCTCCCCACCTTATGGTACTATTGGCACCTTCATGAAGCTCCTACATCATCCCCCAGCACCAGGTTCTACAGCAGAGACTGTCCGTGCAGCAGTTATGATCTCCTCTAGAGCTCTGATTGTATTTCTGTTGCTGCTCCTGCTGACACACACAGATCAAAACAGCTGGAAGCAGTTCTTGTAATCAGCAGGTCTAGACCATCATCTGCTCAGATCACTGCTTGATCTCTGTCCTTCTGGCAGGACAGCAACAGCCCTGAGCTCTCTCACAGTCAATGTTCCAGTGACATCTCCTGCAGTCTATCCCCACACAAAGGTAGGAACTTCCCCCTTCCCCCCAGCCTCAGCTCCGTATACAAGCACTTTAAAACCAGGCATGAAGGCAGACACACAACATATACATCATCAAGGTCATCTACAAATGAAACAGGACAAGGATTCACCATGTTCAGGAAACACAGCAACTTCAAACATCCAATTTGAATTTCTTGTCAGAAGGGGGAGGATATAAAAGAATATAGGAAAGTCCCAACACTGCACCAGGAAGAAGAGATGAGCATGGAAATGCACTGCTTTCTGGTTTAAAAGCCCTCTCTAACTCCTCTCATGGCTCCCAGGCAAATCCAAAACATCTGAAAATTTGGAAACATAGAAATGCGATCTCTTTTGTCGTCTCACTCTCGGCTTTCCCCCTCAATCGTGGGGAGTTTCTCCTTGCCTTCCAGGTGTCCTCCAGCCTCACCACATGTCCCTGGAGACGGTGCCTTTGATCAGTTTGAGAAGAATGATCCTTTGCTATTTAATCACAGGCTCCTCTGGAAACTCTAATGGCAGCTGCTCAGAGTGCATAGCAAACTAGGACACACACTGGTTTACGTCTGTGCAGAAGTGGGTTGTGCCAGAGAAATGACCAGCTTGCCACTCATAACCTTCCCAGAGGCATCTCTGTGCCGGATGGAACTGTCAGAGCATGCTGGCTCTGCTGTTTCATCCTTCACAGATCTGGTATTTTTAAACATGTCATCCCATTTGTTCTGCTTTCATCAACACCAAGTAATAAAACAATTCAAACTCCTTAGACCGGATGCAGGGGCCATAATTGCCCTCCTGCCCTAGATAAAATAACAGAAGCAAACCAGCCATGATCAGTTCCAGCACCTTGTGCACTTTATTCCAGAGATTGCAAAYACTACCCCTGGAGATAGTGGCTGGGTGCACAGCAGGTGCAGGGCTGTGATCACCAGCGCCATGGTGCAAAGGGCGCTGTGCCTCACCCACAGCAGCTTGTGAGAGTGGCCAGGGTAGGACCTGGCCTTCCTCCAGCACAGTTCCTCACAAGACCGTCCTCTTCCTCCCTCACTGATGACCACGCTGCAAGTGACATCAGTGACACTTGTCAGAAGGGGGGCATTCAGCACCGGCTCTAATTTTGCACACCAAAGCATTTGCGTTTGCAGGGCTCTGAGCAGATCTTTGCACATGAAGATTCTGCCATCAGAGAGCCATAGGCTGCAAATGCAGAAGGAGGGGAAAGGTTTATGTCCCCTGCAAAAATCTGACTCAAGTGATAATTAACATCATGAAGAGGTTTTCTGTTTTAAATTTGAAATAAGATCCCCTAAAATTATTAAGGAGTAAAATTGCTTGGGATGAAATAAACTGAATCACTCTAAAGCTTTTGGAGAGCATATGGGAAGAGGAATAAAACTGTTCCAAAAGTTTAGATCCTAAGTATGAGCAGAAGTGACCTCCAGAGAGTCCATTATATGTAATGGTCTTACCCTCATTTATTTCTGTTCTGTGTACAATAAATCCTGTTGGTCTAGAGAGTCAGTAAAAGTAAAGCTGTTTATTAGATGCACTTATTCTACATCAGGGTATTTAGAGACATCACTAATCCTATTCTGGAAACTTCTTAGAGTACAGTGAGCTTCCATGGCCTAAGCAGAATGGACATCTGTCCAGCTGTCCCCAAGGGARCTGGGGTGTCTCCTGTGACAGGTGGCTCTGTGCAGGTCAGCAAGTGTGCTCATGTGAGAGTGTGTTTCACGTTTCAGTGACCTGGCACAGGGACTATGTGATCATTTAGTAGCTTAAGGTTAGGAAGAACAAAAACCCTTTGATCAATAGTGACACATAGCGACTCTTGAGTTGCTGGTTGAAGAAGAGGTTTCAGAAATAAAGACCTACATGTCTCATATAGCTGTAGATGACCATATCAACACACAACTAAGACTGAGGTTTCTTACGGAAGCAATAAAGCTCTGGTTCTGAGGTAATTGGGGTGAGCTTTCTTCCACCACAAGAACATGGAAGGCACTGGGTAAATATCTGACAATGCATATATTCACCCATACATATCCATAAAAGGTGTGWTAATCATGTGCTTCTGTTTGTTTCTAAATTCATGTTACTGCAGGAGTAGAATGTTTGGGTGCAAAAATGTATTTTAGTTCTTGTAAGGACACAATACTGGGGTGCATACATACAGGTACATATTTTTATTGTTTGTATATAAATGCATACATTGGATGCATACGAACACATAGTTACAACAGGTGTGATTGAATGAATAGATGTGGKTTTGCTATTTCTCTCTGTGTAGGAGGGTAATAGCATTTGGTAGCYTGGCACTATTTGCAAATATGAGGACAGCCTGATGTTCCTTGGTTTAATTGGCTGGGATTGCTGCAGTGTCAGGCTGGGTATGACAGTGCACAAGAGAATGTGTTTGGGTATCTGTGAGAAGACAGCTGCCTGCTTATTTCTGCTGGTATTAGTGTGCTCACTGTGAACTGATAGGARCGGCATCAAATATGGACAGCTTGTTCCCAATACAGATGCCCTGATTTGCATTTAACTGGCTATTTAGACCTTAAATGCTAATCTGAGCCTCKGGGAATGAGAGGTAGGTGTCTTGCTGGAGTAACAGCTCTGCGCACTGGACTCTTCCTGAGTCCATATGATTATGCTGAAGTCCTGAAGTCCTGGGACCTATCCCTGAATCCATGTCATTATGGCTACTTGTGTGTATGCTTGGATCTATCTTCCATAGCTGCAATTTTAGAATGCTCCTTTCTCGGTGTTTAGGCACAAGGGTATCTGCACAKCCCTCAGATTAGACATTTGCCTGTGATTGTATTTGCACTTGGAGCTGGAGCCGGGATGCTCGAGACACAGGGTTGGGGRTTACAGAGCTCCACGCAGACGGAGCACGGGGGCGGCTCCGCATCCCCGACTCGCATCCACGTGGCTTTGTGTGTGTCTCGCCCGGCTGGGTGTAACTTACGTACAGGCAGCCTGTTTTCTGCGAAGCCCTTCCTCAGGAAGATGCATGCTGGCCCCAGCAGGTTGTGCATGACGGCGCAGTTCTGGGCCAGCACCATGAGCGGACCCTGGTACTCGCAAGCCGACGACCCCTCTTCGCTCGTCTGGACAGCTTTATAGCTCGTCTTCTCGTCATGGCGGATCTTCCCAGCCAACCAGCAGCAAGCAAACAACACAACAGAGGATGTTACCTCCCCATCTCGTTCCTCTGAAGTTTTACTGAACCGCCTCGCAGAGCCATAATTGCTAAATTTCCTTCATCGGGTGCACACGGCATCCCCCCCACCGGTCTATTAGGATTTGTACAGTAGCAGTAAGTCCAGGAGTTCACTTTCAAAAGCTGATAGAAGTACAACCAACCACGAGAATTTCGCTTTGAAATTACATCAAACTCTCAGCACTGCTCACATCTATCTAGACACAGCCCAAAGTGCCACACTCCCACAATCAGCCCCAGTGTTAACAATGAATTGAATGAGCTGCAAAGGACAAGCACATCTCATCTTAACCGTATGTGTGCCAGCCTGTGCCCAGGGCAAAGCTGCCCGGCCAGGGCATCCCCAGGAGACCAGGCAGAGCCTGCACAAAGCCACTGCACAGGCCCCACATTACATTTTTACACAGCATCACACGCTTTATCACGTTATCAGAAGACCACTTACAGCATCAGGTGGCTCTGCGAACTGCAGGCTCGCACTGCCTGTGCTGCTACTAATTAGTTACATCCTCACGGTTTCAGGCACTCACTGCCCTGACCTCTTCTAATCACTGACAGTCCCAAAGTGGAGATCAGGCACGGGCGCAACATTTTTGTCTGTTTGCATTTGCACATTTTCCTAAGTGCACACGTCCTGCTAAGCTAAAGCTCCAGAACTGAATCCAGCACTGGATTTYATAAGGAGGCACTGCTTTCCTTTTATAGAAATGCATTTCCCTGGCTCTGCAAAAAAACACTTATCCTGATATTCCCATGCAGCTATAAAAAGCCAACGCAACCCACAGGACCCTTGGTTCTACAGAATAAACATTAATCATACATCAGATTCCTCTTCAGGAATGATTCTACTTTTACAGCCAATGTTCCCAAGGGTGATCAGAAAAGCTCTGTCAATTGTCATTGTCTCTCTTAACCCTTCCCTTAAAACCTGAGGTACATTTTCAGGCTAAAAGATCAGACACAAACACCCTCCATTCACACTTGTCTGAGACTATTGTATCTACTTGCTGTGTCTGCCATGTTCTATTACATTGCATGCATGGTTTGTTTGCCTTTTTGTACATAGTCTTATACCAATCTGCTCATGTATAATGACATGTGAATATCGAGCATCAAAACAAAAACAACTCAAAAAGCAAGCCATGGAGAAAGAAAATGATGAAGCAGAAAAGCATTTTCATTGCAGTCATGGATGAGAAAGGAATCTGTCTCTGATTAATTCTGACACATAGGACACTTGTCCTTAAAAAACTGAAAGATGAGCATCCATCCACGAATGGCATATTACTAGCTCAGCTAAATGTCAAGGCATCTGTGTTGAACTACACAGCTTTGTGACATCAGTGCAATGTATTTTCAAAATTATCAGCTTTATTTCCTGGCACATTTTTCAGTTTAATATAGAAAAAAAATATGAATCACTTACATAGCCCACATCAGTTCTGTGTTTAATTCCAGTGAAGCCACATGAAGGATACAAAGCTCCACAGACCCAAATGTTCGYTTGCTGACCCTTCCAGTCAACAGTTAATTATCAAACTCTACAGCAGTACCTCATAATAGTCACACCATTATTCTTCTGTCTTGATAGAGGTTGCCAATTCGACAAAACAGTGGCCAAGAGCCACAGAGGATTGTGACCATACCAACTGCTGCAGTGCCAGAACAGCAAGGTCAATGACTCAGCAAGACCCCAACAGGGGCTCCTTGCCCTGCCCTGCCACTGCAGGCAGGATTTATGGCATTCAGTGCTCCCTCTGCCAACAGTCTCACAGGTTGTCCTGCAAATATCCACTCACCATGGTGTTCCCTTCACCATGTTCCTCCTACATCCCAGCAGAGTGAGGAAGAGAGCTGTAGTATTGGTATGGGGCAAAGAAATGTCAGCCACCATTACAGGGCAAACAGCAGTGTGCATGACAAAGAAAATGCAAGGATAGGATGGGGAAGATCAGGCTTTCCCAGTCCCTTCCCTGARCAAAGGACCACTACTCTTCCTGCCCAAGTCTAGCCCTTGACTGTGTCAGACCAGCAGATTATGGAGTGGGAGGAGACCTGGCTGATCTAGAGATGGCTCAAGTGGTGGAGAAGGGTGGCAAACTGAAGTACCTGGATGCCAATGCTTTTAATTTCTGCACAACAGAAGCACACCAGGATTCACTTAATTTTCATGCCTGTGYGGCAGAGGGCCTTTGCAGAACACCAAGCTGAGAGGGGTCTCCATTCCAATTGCAGTGTCTTGGAGAGAAAAGCACCCAGGATGGCTTTCACGATTGCTGGGGGGACACTGTGACTATGGGAAACTGAAGCTTCCAACAACAGACAGGGAGTCAAAGCCTGAACAAGCAAGATACTCTACTGTCAGCCAAACCCAGACCAAACCAGCTGGTGTTTGGGAGTGAATCCTAAATTTTAGGTTGAAATCATGTATTCAAGAGTTCAGACTGTCAGCTAAGAGCAGCTTTCACACACGTTGCCTGCAGTCCCTCCTCTTTAACATTTCAGCAAAATTAGTTTGCTCAAGGTAAAATCTGAGAAAAATGACTGGGATCATAACACAGCCAAGTGAAGTTGTGCAATGTTAAGACTGATCTGCAGTCTCCACTACAATCATGTGTGCTGTGATGAAAGGAATGGCAGAGTAGCAGGACCTATCAGGATGAGTGTGTGAGGCCTTATTTCATAGCTCACTAGAGTGATGTTTGAGAAATTCTCTAATTCAGCTTTGCAACTCTTCAATCCTGACATCCCAGGTCTTGTAACTAGGCACAAAGTGAGTTACTCAAAGCAGCTTTTAGGAAAGAAAGCATAAATTGCCTAAAAGCTGATGACACAGAATTTACAAATTCTTGAATCCATTTTGATTCAAGCAGCCTGGCTACACATCAGACTTGAATTGCAATTGCCTCAAACAGCTGCAGCCAACTCCTTTTATTCYAAGTTGGAGGCGGCCTACAAGCAACCAAATTGGTTTTTCACATGTGCAACATTTGGGTGAACCTCAGCTACTTCTATGTCTCCCTGCAGGTCACCCTGACCTAGAGACTGGTCTAAGCACTGCCTAAGTGCTTGATGATGAATTCTCTCCTCAAGCATCCCAGCTCTCCCGCAGCAGCAGCACTGTGCCATTACTGCCTTTGTTTACAGCAGCCAAGATAACAAGCAAATGGTGTTTCTACACAGAAGAGGCAAACATCCAGCCTAGATGGTCGGAAGGTCCTCTCCCAAACAGCTCCCTCCCAGAGGAGCTTTCCCAGATGGCAAGGCCTCCTGGATGGAGCATGTTGATGGCAGTGGCATTTCACTGTCGTCAAAGTCTCCACAGAGGCAGCTCCTCATTGCAATACTTTGGACAATCAGCATAACTTTATCATTTACGGAGAGTGAACTGCATAGCTTTTTGCTGAGCTATAAGATTTGCAGCAATGCCAAGTGAGAACCGTGTGGCTGACAGGTACAAAATGCTGTAAGTTCTTGCTCAGTCAAACAAGAAATGTTTCTGGGACATATCATTCCCATTTCAGCCCAGTCCCAAACAGCAGAATTATKCCTGAATCTAATTTGTCCTGGGACCACTGTAAAACCTCAGCACAGTGCAGACTGTGTGCTGAAGATACACGTGGCAGCTCACAGATGAAGTCCAGCTGGGCCCAAGCATGTAGACACATGGGCTATGCTGAGATGCAACATGATGACCTAACATACAGGCAGGGCCCAGTGTATCCACTCACAAACAGCTACATGGACAAACAGAGCAGAGAGAAAAACATGCTTCTGTACCCAAACACTTACCAACAAAACTAATTGTGCGCATACACAAGGATGGATAGACATTAAAACATATGCATGCTTATACACAGACTTCTGTGAGGACATGTACTAGCAGGTGAGCACACACAGAGCGTCATACAAGCAGGTGTATATATGTGATACACAGAAATTCCCCCTTTATGCACTCACAACAARCCTGCTCAGGCACTCAGGATGCCTATGTAGAGATGTAAAGAGCTAAGGACACGTTCCTCAGACGGGCTCAGAGGCGCGCGTACTCTTACACACCAATGGTAACAGGTACAGACACATGACCCTTTACACATCCATGGATACATGTCCCTACACTCATGACACATTGATTATTCATGCAGGTACCTCTCAGCTGAAGCATGTGCACACGCACAAACTCATACATACAYACACACACACACACACACACATCAAGATGCCCCGACAGGAGTGTGCCAGCACACCGTGCACATTGACAAGCACATGCTTGCACGTACCCAGAGGAGAGCTGTACACAAGCCTACACACACATTTATTTACACACATTATGGCTCTCAGCATCCTGGGCTCTACTGGCTGCACTTGCATGAGCAGCTCTTACAGAAAAAATCTAGTGAACAGAGCTGAACCCTTCATACTCATCTCTGTGTTTCTCCCACCTCCCATTCCCATCTGTCCACAATGTCACCCATCCCAAGAAGCAGGGCTGGAAATGCACAGYGCACTTTGATTCAGGGAACATACCTTTTTAGAGAGGTTTCTCAGTGGAGACTTCACACAGTTGCCCATAATATGTTGAGGCTGCCTTTCCGGTGGACTTGGTTATAAAGGAACTGAAGCAATTGATCCCATTAAAGGTATTCCTTGGGAGCAAAGCAAGAAAGGCAGCGCCAGGCAAATCCAAACAGCTACTGGCTGCTGGGGCTTTCCCTCTTCAGGGAGCTTTTTCTCTCTCTGCCTCTCTCTCTCCGTATTTTACTTTATGTTCACTTTCTTGAAGAGATGAAGCAGGAAGGAGAGGGAGGGGAGAGAAACAGACAGAAAGAGGGAGAGAGGGAGAGAGAGAGTGAGTGAGAAGGGGGGAGAGAGGGAGGCGGATGTATAATCTACATCAGATTAATGTTCAAATCCCTCCCACCCCCC